TTTCTAATTAGAAAAATCACATATTTCACAAAGTTCTGCTTACTCCTTAGCCAGAGGAAAGCCACAGATCACTTTTCTGTTTAAAATACTCACCTTTCAGGACTCTGGATAAATTATTTGAAAGTAGGAAAGCACTGTGACATTGGTGATAAGGAGTATCATGTATAATATACAGGTGCATGCTTTGACAGCCATGGTTGCTAAAAACAAATTTTTTCAGAAGAGAAAAATGTAAGCATTTCTTTACATGATCGTTAATTTTGTTTTGCCTAAATAGCATCTTGCCTTTGTACAGGGAGGTGAAGTTGACTTTTATTACACAAGATGAGCTTGAAAGTCCTTTAACTGGCCAGGATGTCACTGAGTATCGGCGGGGGTGAATGGATCCTGCCGCCACGGTGTGTGAAAAGACCTTTGTTCCTGGCCCAGGAATGTCCCGGCTCACATGGGGCTGGGGCTGGCTGCCTTGTTAGTTTGCATGCAAGGCAAAATGTTACACCTTCCCCTTTTCCTGACATACAGATGCAAAAGCTTTTAACAAATTGCTAAATCAGACCCAGAAATATGTAGAAGGGATAAGAACAGCACACCAGTTGGAGTTTGTTCCCATGATGTGGCATAGTTTTGCATTGCACACTTGGCTCGTCATTCAAAAATTGATATAATTAACAAAAAATGAAGGAGACACAACCCCTTTCGTCGTCTCAGTAGATGCTGAAAAACATCTGATGAAATTTAATAGTCCTTATACAGATTTCCTATTAAATCGGGAACAGAAGGGAAATGTCTCTGTTGGATAAAAGCCGTTCCTGAGAAACGAGAGCTGACCCCCTCCTCTGTGGTGGCAGCCGGGCTGCTCTGCACACAGTCAGGTATGTACCAGAACGCGGCCATTTTCCATGGCTCTAGTCCATGTGGCACTTAATGAGGTCCTTGTCAGCAAAGTGAGTCAGGAGAACTCAGAGGCATGAAGACTTGGAAGGGGTGAGACACTTGATTTACAGAAGACACAGGGGCTTATTGAGAACATTTTAGGGAATCTACAAGTGACTAGATAGAGTCTTCATAAGAGGTGGTGTACACATCCCTGTGGGCCTGTGAAAGGTGCCTGCCAGGGGTCGTCAGGTGGTCCGAAACTTAAACCCCCACGGTTCCGCTTCACAGGAGTGGGAAAGGACAGTAGCAGGTGCTGGTGAAGATGTGACAGGCTGGATCTCACACCAATGGGGACTCAAAATGTTACAGCCCCTTTAGCAAACAGTTTGGGAGTTTCTTTAAAATGTGTACAGTTACCATGTGGCCCAGCAATTACACTTTAGATGTTCACCAAGGAGAAATGAAAATGTGTGTCCATGTAAAAGAATGTACATTATCTTGAGTAAATTGTCACAGCCAAAAACTGGAAACAAATCTCTCTCAGCAAATTATGATATATTCATACATTGTCCTAGTTCCCATCAGGAAAAATGTGCAAAATACTAAAACCGAAACAGGCAGTGGGGATGAGTTCCAGGAGCCTTGAGTTGCGTAAAGAGGGAACACCACAGCGTGGAGTCCGTGTGATGGTGCGGAATCCGCACGAGTCTCCGGTGACGGAATAGCGCCAAGGAACACTCCTCGTGAATGAACAGTGGCTGTTTATCGAAGGCCAGGGTTGACCGGGAGGGGGCATGTGGGAACTTCAATGGGGGCAATAGGTTGATTTCCATTTATCAAAATGCATTGAGTGTACTTAAAATCTGAACATCCCACTGTGTATACTCTATACTTTATCCCTTCCAAAAACAATGAAAAAATAATTATAAATGAACACTGAACTCTGCTTGATAGATTTTTCATGGTGGTATTGATAACAAGCATTTCTGTATCTCCAGGCTTAAGCAAATAAGCTTAATAAATTAGCGACTAGATTGAGGCTAACAGGAGCCAGGTTTCTTTCTTGGCAAGAGAGGTGGAAATGAGAAAAGGCCAAAGCCTGGAATGGATCATACAGCATTGGGTTGCAGTAGGAGGTACCAGTATGAGCTGGTGGCTCCCAAGAGACCTAGGCAGTGACAGGAGTGCCTATGGATGGGCATGAGTGTACTTGCGTGTACACGTGTGGTGTGTTTTGCTTGCCAGCACTGTCCAGTAGCAGTGACCCACAGTGGCAGCACACCTGGTGTCCAGTCTTAGCTTCCAGACACCATTTTTCACTAGAGGGAGCTGGGCCTCCTGGTTCCAGGGCTGGGGAATCTGGTGTCAAATCTGGGGCCATTTGAGCACCAGAATAAACCATTATAATTATGAATTTTAACCCACCAAGTCAGACTCCATGAGTGCATGTTGATATGTGTAAATGAATGATGAAAGATAAAATGAGTATTTTTTAAGTGAGCGTAAATCTAATGATTTAGAAGGAATGACAGGCAATCATCAATGGATGCTAAAACCAGCAGTGAAGCACTGATGAGAAACAGAATATGCACATAGCGTCAGGGTCTGTCCTCCCAATCTTCATTGCAATGGGAGAAGTAGCATCTTTGCTATGGAGGAACTCAGTAGGCGCCACCTTCACTGAGTGACCAATGTTAACATTGTCACACAGGACAGACTTCTGCAGTGTCCCTGCTAAAATGCACACTCCTGAGTCCAGAATACACCAGAATAAAGGACAAGCTGTAAAATAACTGGCCTGTATTCTTTAAAATTTCCAATTTCAAGAAACACGAAAGCCAAGAAACTTGGATTTAAGGAGGGTAAAAATCACATGACAAATAAATGCAATTCAAGATCCTGGTTTGGATCATAAAATAAGAAGACAAAGTAAGAAAATTATGGAGACAGTTGACACCATTTGAACGTGAACTTTGGATTGGACTATAGTATATGACAGTTAAATTTCCTGACCTTGAGGGAAATTTATGTGAGAGAATATCCTTGTGTTGAAGAACACATCAAAACATTTAGGTATAGAGGGACATGGTATCTGAAATTTTTTTTCATTTGACTTAGCAAATGCATGGGGGAGAGACAGGGAAAACAGTGGTGTAAGGTAGGAGCAGTTGGTGAACCTGGGTAAAAGTTACGTGGGAATTCTCTGTGCTGGTCCTTCAGATTTTCTGTTTGAAATTACAACCAAAAAGTTTAAAAAGAATATGCAAAACCAAAAGTGATTCCTGGGAACTGAATGGACTGTGTCACCTCATTGATGAGCCCTTCAAGCTTCAGCCGTGAACCTAAGTCAGTCATGTATTGGTTTTTTTTTTTTTTTTTTTTTTTTTTGAGACAGAGTGTTGCTCTTGTTACCCAGGCTGGAGTGCAATGGCGCGATCTCGGCTCACCGCAACCTCCGCCTCCTGGGTTCAAGCAATTCTCCTGCCTAAGCCTCCTGAGTAGCTGGGACTACAGGCACGCGCCACCATGCCCAGCTAATTTTTTGTATTTTTAGTAGAGACGGGGTTTCACCACGTTGACCAGGATGGTCTCGATCTCTCGACCTCGTGATCCACCCGCCTCGGCCTCCCAAAGTGCTGGGATTACAGGCTTGAGCCACCGCGCCCGGCATGTATTGGTTTTTGACCTGGGAATTAGAAAGACTACCAGAAAACCAAGCTCTTGATCTAGTTAGGAGAAAGAAAGTGCACGCAAAGGGTGACCACAGCCAAGCAGCCTCATGAGCTGACTGGGGTGTGTGACGCGGCAGGATCTGGGTCCTGTCTGAGGCAGCAGTGTGGAGGGTTTAAGCAGGAAAGACATGTCTGATTCCCTTTCAGTGGGATTATCCTCGCAGCTTCAGAGAAGACTGCCCCATCCTGGGGCTTCTCTGCCCCCAGCCCGTCTTCAGTTACACTGACCATTTTTGTTGTTGGTGGTTTTATCTGCCAAAACCATTCTCATGGTTTAGGGCCTTTGAGCAGGTTTTTGTCCATGTCTTGAAGATTCTCGTGTTGGTAGCCTGTGTGGTTCATTCCTGTTACTCTGATTTCGTGTTAAGAGGGTTCTTCTCTGGCTTCAGTTTGGAGTCGCTGCTTCGTCTGTCACCTGGACCCCGTCTTGTCCATTAGGGAGTGCCCTGTGTGAAATGTGGTGACACATCTACCTTGTCACCACTGTGTCCCCAGCTCTTAGGGCACTACCTTACCATGCAGACCTCCATGGATGCCTATGGATTCACTCAGTGAATGTGTGGAATTAATGTAATGGGCTAATAGCCACAAAATGTGTTAATGGTCATGTTAGTCTATTTTTACGCTGCTGATAAAGACATACGGAACACTGGGAAGAAAAAGAGGTTTAGTTGGACTTACAGTTCCACATAGCTGGGGAGGCCTCAGAATCATGACAGGAGGTGAAAGGCACTTCTTACATGGTGGCGGCAATAGAAAACGAGGAAGAGGTGAAAGCAGAAGCCCCCGATAAACCCGTGAGATCTTGTGAAACTTATTCACGATCACAATACTAGCACAGGAAAGAAGGCCCTCATGCTTCAATTCTCTCTCCCTAGGTCCCTCCCATAGCATGTGGGGATTCTGGGAGATACAATTCAAGTTGGGATTTGGGTGGGGACACAGCTAAACCATATCAATAGCCAACACAGTCCTGGCCTGTGGCTGGTGCCCAGCTGAGCTCCGCCCATGGCTGCATGAGTAAGGGAGCGAGGCGTGCACACAACCCCCAGCAGTACAGTGAAAGGATTTGGTGGCTCAAATGTGTGACCTACAAAGAGATCTCCAAAGATCAAGGGCCATTCATCCTAAAAAGAAAAATCACAGCTTACTTTACAGCCAGTGTTTGCTTATAGCTATGGATTCTGCAGTAATAAAATTAGTAACTAAAACTCTGTGAATGAATTTTAATGTCTTTACTGGAATTGTAAACACCAGTTTTCTTTCCTCACCTACTCATGTGTTGATGAGTTTCAGAAGGTGGATGAAGTGTGCTCCAGGAACAGAAGAGGGGGCAGCTTGGCCTCTGGGACCTCAGCAGAGCACTGAGTGACTAAGCTGTCTCCGTTTCAGATGTCCACACAGAAGCTGTCCAGGCGGCTCTGGCCAAACACAAAGAGCGGAAGATGGCGGTGCCTATGCCTTCGAAACGCAGGTCCCTGGTCGTGCAGACCTCCATGGATGCCTATACCCCTCCAGGTAAGGGGCACGTTCCCCGACACTGCCTCCTGAGGTGCCCGCTACCTTCAGGGGCCCGCCGTGTTCAGGCACCTTCATATTGTTAACAAGCCCAGCAATCAGGGGTTTTCGTTTTTAAAATAATGGTGCAGTGATGCAAATTTTGTGAACCAGAAGTCCAAAAACAGTATGAGTTAAATTTGGAAGGAAAATTAACATTATTATCTGTCTGTATAAATACACATTTTTAACTTGTCACCAAGACTCATGCGATACATACTGGTAAAATCTTACACGGTTTTATTCATTTAATTCTTTGTATGGAAAAGGGAAGAGTTTGTAGTCTTCTGGGTGAAATTGGACTTTTCTTCTGATTAGGCTGCTACATGTGTGTTCTCACATCTTCATATAAGTGTGCTGTATTGTTGTATTGTTTTAGAACAGGCGACTTGGACAGCTTAGGCAGTTGCCTGAATCAAGGTCACAAACTTTGCCTCCAAGGTGCCAGATAGCATTTCAGTTCCTGCAGGCCGTAGGGCTCTACAGTTACTCAGCTCTGCCCTGGAGTGTGAGAGCAGCCATGGGTGATAGCAAGTGGGTATTGTTATGTACCAATAAAACTTTATGTACAAGAACAGCAGACCTGCCAACCCCTGATCTAAATTACTGAAGGTAAGCTCATTTATGTTTCTGTTATAGAATACTGCTTTTATTTAATCTTGAATTTTATGTAACTACCCAATTCTCTATTTTACCCTGCCCAAATAATTATAAACTACATCTTGTGATCTTCACAACCAAAGTGAAGCATAAAGTTCAGTTACCCAGGTACTTGTTAGAAACATGGATTGAACCCACTTTATTTGGAGTTTAGTTTCTGTGATTTTGATTCCAACCTTGTTCACATCATTGTTGCAAGCTTGTCTTCTCGAAGGACCTAAATCACCTGCCATACCACTTTGAAGCTACGTGCCACTTTAAATGCCACCATTTTTTTCCCACTACAAGAGGAACTTAAGGTACAATGTGAATAGTTGAAAAAGTACAGTGTTTTGGGGAGTATTTTTATGTTGAAAAATTTAGCTCAGTCTTGGCAAGCAGTGAGACAGCAGGACATGATTCAAATCAGAACTGAGGTCGAGGATATGCCACATTGTTCCAGACAGCTCCTGAGTCGTCACCTTTTTGTGCCTTTACAAGTGAAGGTACTGAGATTTATAGGACAGAACTCAAAGAGTGCATCATTTTGGGTTTTCGCTGTTTTTTGTTTGTTTTGAGACAAGGTCTTGCTCCATCGCCAAGGTTGTAACTCAGTGGCGTGATCGCAGCTCGTCGCTCACTGCAGCTGTGACCCCCTGGGCTCAAGCGGTCCTCCCACTTCAGCCCCTCAAGCAGCTGGGACCACAGGTGCATACCAGCACACCCAGCTAATTTTTAATTTTTTGTAGAGACATGGTGTTCCTATGTATGGTGTTTTTGTGTTTTATTTACAGATACATGTTCATCTCAAGAACACAGTGCCAGCAGGCAAGGAAGTGGATGTCATGCTAGCAAGGTTGTTGGCAAGGGAGCTCTTTCTGCCAACGTGCTCCCTTGGGCTCCTCCCTTTCTTTATTTTAATATTAAGCCACAGCACATCATTAGGGGCTAGGGTTGGTGGCTAATGCCTATAACGCCTGCACTTTAGGAGTCCAGGGTAGGTGAATGGCTTGAGCCCAGAAGTTCGAGACCAACCTGGACAACCTGGCAAAATGTACAAAAATTCCTTTTGTGCATTTTTTCTCCGCCAAAAGTATAAAAAATTAGCTGGGCGCGGTGGTGGACACCTGTAGTCTCAGCTACTTGGAAGGCTGAGGTAGAAGAATCACTTGAGCCCTGGAGGCAGAGGCTGCAGTGAGCTAAGGCAGCAATTCCACTTCACCCTGGGCAACAGAGTGAGACCCCATCTCAATTAGAAAGTCCCAGCTGCTCAGGAGGCTGATGTGGGAGGATCACTTGGGCCTAGGAAGGTTGAGGCTGCAGTGAGCCATGATTGTGCCGCTGCATTCCAGCCTGGACAACAGAGCAAGACCCTGTCTCAAAAAAAAAAAAATATGTTTAATCCTGTTTGTTTAGTTTATGGTTACAATGTGCCAAAACCTATGGTAAAAATTTTATTCGTGTTCTTTGTGTAACTAACAAAATGGACTTAAAAGTTTTAAAAAATTTTAAACCTAATTTTTGGCACTAGCCAGTATTTAAGGCAATAGGTATTTTTCTTGACCACTTTATATAAGAGAAATGAGTTTAAAATGGAAGAAGCAATGCAATTATTTGTGTTTATGCTTATTTCTCATATTGAATCCAGCCACTGGGAAACGTTATTGGGTCATGTGTGATGAAAAACCTCATTATGCAGATGTCTTTGCAAAATATAAAAGAATATTATTTGAAATGTTTTTGTGAAATATTTGCATTTTTTTGATAAGCATTTTTATGTTAACCATTAAACACATTTTGTAAATTTTCATAAGGAGTCCTAGTAATATCACATGGGGCAGTTGTGTACAATCGTAAATCAATATCATAAAAATTTTTTACTCCCAGCCTATTTTGTGCTTAATGGTAGTCTGCATGTTTATTATCATGCTTACTTCAATGAAATCTTAGCTGCATTTCCTCTGATCTATTTTTCTTGGTTGTTGGTAACAGTAGTTAGATCCTACTTCAGTTTCATTGCTCTTCAGAGAATATTCTTGAAGTTTATCTTCTCTCTGTGAAATGACTGGTTGCTGACCAGGATCATAGTTTCTGGAGGAAATCTCATTAGGATTGTTACAATGCTAATCTATGGATGAAACGTTCCTTTAGTTTTCACATGTGAAGATACAAGAATAATTTACCAAAACTTCTGCTTCTAGCCATGATGAAATAAAAGGAACCCAAATCACACACCTGCTGTAAACAACTGTAAAACTGCACGAAACAAATGAGATGGCTGTTTTCAGTCCACGGACCACAGTTGTGTAAGCCAGAACCTGAGAGCAGGAAAATGAATGAGATGCGCCCATAGTGCACTTCCTCTCTCCGGGGAGAGCACTTGCACACCATGCATGGAGAGCTCAGGTGTGAGCGAAGCACGGCCACCCTACCAGGTCCAGGAGGTGGAGACTGGAGTGGGTGCAGGACTGGAGCTCTCCACAGATCCACACCAGCAACAGATTAAAACAACAGTAAGATATCACTACACACCTATCGGAACGGCCAGAATCCAGAACTTCATCAGCACCGAAGCTGGTGACAATGCACAGCAGTGAGAATTCTCTCATTCGTGGCTGGTCTTAATGCAAAATAGAGCAGCCTTTAGGAAGACAGTTGGGTGGTTTCTTACAAAACTAAATATACTTTGCCATATGATCTAGCAATTATACTCCTTGGCATTTACTCAAAGGAGTTGAAAACTTATGTCCACACACAAAGACTACACATAGATATTTAGAGCAGCCTTATTCATAACTGCCAAAACTTGGAAGCAACCAAAATGCCCTTCAGTAGGTGAATGTATAAGTAAAATGGTACATCCAGACAGTGGGATATTATTCAGTGCTAAAAATAAATTAAATGAGCTATGCATAAAAAGACATGGAGGAAACTTCAATTGCATATTGCTAAGTGAAAGAGGCCAATCTGAAAAGGTCACTGTGTGATTTCAGCTATACAACATCCTGGAAAAGGCAAGACTGTGGAGACAGTGAAGAGATCAGTGGCTGTCAGGGGCTTGGGGAGGCAGGGATATATAGGCAGAGCAGGAGGATTTTAGTATCATGTGATACTCTGTATGATACTGTCTTCGTGGATACGTTACGCCTTTATCCAAGCCCATATATTGTACAACACCAAGAAAGAACCCTGATGTGAGCTATAGAGTTTGGATGGTAATTATGTTTCGGTGTAGAAATATCAGCTGTACCACTCTGGTAGGGAATGTTGATGGTAGGGGAAGCTGTGCATATGTGGGGTTGGAAAGAATACATGAGACATCGCTCTAAAACTGAAAAACGCAAAACTGAGATGAGATTTCGCTGGATGGGCTTAACAGGTTGTAGAAGAAAGATGGATGAACTTTAAGAGGGATGAAGAGAAATTAACCAAAGTGAAGACCAGGGAAACAAAAATTGAGGAAAAATTGGCAGAACCTCAAGTTCCTATGGTTCATTGTTAACATACTTGTAATACAAGAAGGAAAAGAGCGAGAAAAGAGCAGAAGTATTTGAAGAAATGAGTCCTAATTTTCTCAGATTGATGTAAAATACTAGTGTCCAGCCCTGAGAAGTTAATGAAGTTTGAGCAGAACAAGTATAAAAATAATCACATCTAAGTTTATAATAGTCAAAGTACTGAAATCCAAAGATTAAGAGGAAATCCCAGAAGTACTCAGAAGAAAAAGACACGTTGCATACCAGAGAAGAAGCATTTGAACCGTGCATGACTTCCACGAAGATACAATAGACACCACAAGACAATGGAAAGACATTTTCTAAAGTACTAAAAGGAGGGGGAAAGCCTGTCAACTCATATCTAGTAAAAATCTCCTTCACAAACAAGGGTGAGATAACACATTCACAAATGCGAAGGCTGAGAGCATGTGTCATCAGCAGAACTATACTATAAACGTGCTAAAGAATGTACTTCAGGCTGATTGTGAATGATATCAGATGAAAGGTTAGCTCTGTGAAAAAAAAAGAATCCTGTAAATTGTAACAGCACTCTCTAAATTTTCTAGAATATTTTAATCTATGATTTTATGGTTTATAGTTTTTTATATTATTATTTTATGATATAAAGTCATCAAACGTCCACTCTTCTTTATACCTCCTTTACCTGCTGGAAGTTTGTCTATGTTGTACCATGTGTCGGTAGCTTCTTCCTTCTTACTGTTGAATTATACTCTATTAGGCGGATATAACGCATTCTCTTTATTGATTCACCAATTGGGTATTCATTGTTTCCAGTATTTAGCAATTATGAATGATGCTGCTGTCAACATTATATACGTACATATCTTTGTGTATACATATAATTTTCTTTATCTTGGTTGGATGCCAAGTAGTAGAATGATTGACTTTTACCCTAAGTTTGTTTTGCTTTTTAAACACTGCCAAATTGTTTACAAAATATCTGCACCGTTTTACACTCCCACCAGCAGTATATGAGCATCCCACTTTTTCTGCATCATCAGCAGCAATTGGTATTGTTGGCATTTTTTATTTTTGCTATTCTAATTGATGTGAAATAGAATATCATTGTGCATTTAATTTGAAACAATTAACGATGCTAAGCATCTTTTAACATGCCTATTGACTTTTAACATGCTAATTCCTATTCATAGCCATTTGTATATATTAATTGGTAAAATATCTGTTCAGATTTTTTGCCCATGTTTTAAATGGGTTGGTTGTCATCTTATGGGTTATAGGTGCCTTATACAATCTGAACATAAGACTTTTACAGATGTACAGTTTCTCAATGAAAGGACAGACTATTCTGTGGTAGACAGAATAAATACCCCTCCCCCAAGATATTCATGTCCTAATCCTCAGAACTTATGAATGTGTTACCTTAAGTGGTAAAATGTATTTTTCAGCCATGATTAATTTAAAGATCTTGAGATGGGACCATTATCCTGGCTTAACTAAGTGTACCCAGTATAATCAAGAAGGTCCTTACCAGAGAAGATAAGAGTCAGAGACTGGAGTGATACTCTGAAAAGATGGGGAGGGGCTGTGAGTCAAGGATGCAGGTGGCCTCTAGAAGTTGGGAAAGGCTCCTTTGAAGCCTCTGGAAGGAACATAGCTCTGCTGACACTCGGATTTTCTGACTTCTCTATTTGTAGGATAATAAATATGTGTGGTGTTCTAAGCCACTACAATCAAGCTAATTTGTCACATTAGCTATAGGGAGATAGTCATCTTTTAAAACTTAATAGTTTTCTATTTGGATGAAGTCCAGTTTACTAATTTGTATTTTGTGGATTATGTTTTTGGAAGTTTTAAATCTCATAGTCTTACTGTTGTTTAATTTAGATTTGTGATCCATTTTGAGTTAATTTGTATGCGTGCAGTAGGGATCTAAGTGAATTTTTTGTTGGTTTGGGGGAATTTTCCCCCATGCTTTCTTTTTGGGGTGTGGGTAGCTGGGTACATCATATTATTCTGAGTTGTCTTGAGACCTTTGTCAAAAACTAATTGACCATAAATATAAGACTTTATTTCTGGGTTTATTCTGTTCCTTTGACATGTATGTCTATTCTTGTGCTGATACTCCCTTAATTACTGTGATTTTATGTAAAGTTTTGAAATCAGATAGTGAAGTCCTCCAAATTTGTTTTCCTTTTTCAAAATTATTTTGGCTATTCTAGTTCCTTTGTATTTCCAAATAAAATTGAGAATAAGCTTTCAATTTCATACACACACACACCCTTCTGGGATTTTGTTAGGGAGTGCCTTGAATTTATGGAACACTTTGGGAAGAATTGCTGTCTTGATAATACTGAGTTTTCCAATTCATGATTATGATTCTGTCTCCATTTATTTCTTTTCCATTTATTTGAATCTTCTTTAATTTCTCTCAGTGATGTTTTATAGTTTTCAGTGTACACATTTTGCACCTTTTCGTTAGAAGTTGTGCTGAGTGTTTTATGCTTTTGATGCTATTGTGAATGGAACTATAAATTCCATTTTCAGGTTTATTGTTAATATATGTATATCTTGTGTCCTGTGACTCATCAAACTCATTTTTTAGTAATGTGAAGCATTTTTGGTGGATTTCTTGCAGTTTTCTACATCTAAGGTCATCTATTAATAAAGACACTTTTATTCCTTCCTTTCTAAACTGGATGTCTTTAGTTTATTATTAAATTTATTAATTGAATTTATTAGCTGGAAACTGCCAGATGATGTTGAATAAAAATGGCAAGAGGGCATATCTTTGTCTTGTTCTCAATCTTAGGGAAAATGCATTCCATTGTTGACCATTAAATACCATGTTAGCCAGTGGCTTTTCATGAATGCACTTTAACAGGTTGAGGAAATTAGCTTCTATTCCTGGTTTGTTGAGTTTTTAATCTTGAATTTGTCAGTACTTTTCTGTCTTCTAAGGTTAACATGTGGTTCTACTCCCTTAATTCTATACGGTGTAAAACATTGATTCATTTTTGAATGTTAAGTCAACCTTAATTCCTGTCCATGGTATTTAATTCTGGTCACCAACGGTCAGGTAGTATCATCCCTTTCATATGCTGCTTGTTTGCTTTGCTGTTATTCTGTGGAGTGTCTACATCGTATTATTCTGCAGCTTTCTTGGAAAAGGTGGATGGGAGGTAGGAATGAAAGACTGTAAAGAGTCACGAGAAGACGTTCTGGGGAGATAGTTGTGCTCCATTTGGATTCTTGGGGGTGTATCTTTCTCAAAAGTCAAGGCTGTGTCAATTTCACTTTTTTATATAAATGTGTAAGTTTTCTTGAAAGGCAGGGTGATAGATAATTTTCAGGCTCTTAATATTGTTGCTTTTCTAACAAATTTTTAACAAGTAATCTTAAAAAAAATTTCTAGACAGCCTAAGTCACGTGGCAGTGATAATAATAAGTGTGAATATTGTTTGCAGTTATGGTCTTTTGAAAAACAAACCTGTGTCTTAAGATTATTTGCCATGACGACTCCTCTCATCCGATGCTCTGGAACTGTTCACCTGAGCTGGCATCTCCCATAACTCACCTGTAGGAAGGATTCTGAATGTCATTCTTACATTGAAGTTTAAATAACAAATATACCAATAATTCATTCTCAAAACCCTTGATACTGCATGAAAATGTATTAAATTAAAAATATGCTCATAAATTACAGTGAAAAAGTTGATTTATCACAATCCAAGATATCCAATTTGTACAGATAGAAAAATCAATAAATAATGAGAATGTACAAGAAACGAATGCTGTAAAAGTGAATAGATTTCGTTTGAGTGTAAAACGTGATGGTTTGTTGTGTCACTGGAGGAAAGGGAGGTTGGCGCGGCCACTCCACGTGGGCACCTTCTGCTTTCTCTCCTGCTATTGGCATCAGCGTCTCCATCCTTAAGGAGCTGCATTGGTATCTAACACACACTGACTTAGAAATAAATTAGTGCTCAGAAGAACATCTCAGGACTAAACATAGTCACACTGTGAAACTCAGGAGAGCAGCACAGGCCTCAGCATCCCTGGGGAAATGTGGCCCTCGTGCTCTCACTTTGTGGGTGACACAAGAAAACACTTGGTTTCTTCCGAAACTGTTGTGTATAGGAAATGGGTAAGTGGGCCTTTGTCTGAGATTACACTGTCAAAATAAGCATCTTACAGTATGTTTCTTTAAGGTGTTTTGGATGAAAAATTCATTACTCCAAAAGAAATGGTTCATTATTTGAAAAGTGGTTTAACTTCTCAAGAGAGTCTACAGCAAAAAGTCATTGAACAACTGTTCAGACTTACGTGAAGTTGATCTGTGTTTGGAGAGGGACCGAAATTGTGGTACATGTTTTTGCTGCAATATATAGCAAATGGCCTTTCTTCTTACACAGATACCTCTTCTGGCTCAGAAGATGAAGGCTCAGTGCAGGGGGACTCCCAGGGCACCCCCACCTCCAGCCAAGGCAGCATCAACATGGAGCACTGGATCAGCCAGGCCATCCACGGCTCCACCACATCCACCACCTCCTCGTCCTCCACGCAGAGCGGGGGCAGCGGGGCCGCCCACAGGCTGGCAGACGTCATGGCCCAGACCCACATAGGTGAGCACGCTTCCAGTGTCTTTCCATGCCTGTTGGCTCAATGCCTTTCTGTGTGCGTGTTCTCCTCTGCCTGCGTCATCCCTGTGGAATCCCTCTGTGGAAGGGCAGAGCCCCTCTGGCCCCTGGGGTGCTTTGATCTGATTGTTTCTGGAAGGTGCTTTACTGCTTCTCACACCCAGGTCCCTCCCACAGCTTCGATTCCAGGGGTCTTCTGTTCATCAACAAATCCACTCTTGTTCCTGGAGAGACCTGCAGCCATATCCGCTCATGTGTTTTCTTCTCACTTACTCTTAAGTGAACCTTTAACAGTGCTGATCAATAGGACAGGGTTTTAAAGTGGACTTGTCCTGACTGTGGGAGTCATTTAAGGAGATGGGACTTTAATCATGACCGACTGACACTGCTGTCTGTCACAGGTGTTCAGATTTCTTGGGCACATCACACTGCTATGTGTGTAGGTTCCATGACAAGGGAGATCCTCTGTGTTGGAAAAAGCAGTTAGGGCCTCTGCCCTATGACATTTGAAGATGCTGTGGAAAAGAAGTGAAGTGAGAATTATTAAAGGAATAGCCAGCGCATGAGTGAGCAGTGATGAACTTCGCATCGCTCTGCCTTTGAGTGGTTCAGTAGTAAATGTTTTTCATAAAGTACATGAGTTGGGTTGAATGGGGTTTGGGGGTGCCTCTCCTTAAAGCAGCAACAGGAGATGCTGCGTACCATGTTGCCTATAATGGAGTGTGAGCCACAGGCTCAGACCCTCCCGGTATCTCAGCTATCACAGGAAAGTCTGCTCTCTGAAAAATGCAGAGGGAAACAAGTGAGCGTCATGAGTGATTAAATTGCCCACACATACCCCAGAACCCCATAACATTCACTCTAGGTCACTGACTCTTCGATGCTCAGAGGTGTTTCGGATTGACTTGGGTCTCAGCCCCTCCAGCGCTCATCAAGAGTTAAAGTATCAGCCGTTTTCTGTCTGGATCATGAGTTTGTGGTCAGGAGAGCTGGGTCTAGTCTCACTTTTCCCAATAACTGCTGCTGGGATCTTGAAGTCACTTCTCCTGCTTTAAGTTTTTAGTGAAAAATGAGAAAAATGATTTCTTTTTTCTCTCTCAGAACTGTTGGGAGTATAAAGGAGAAAATAGAAATACTCTTTAAAAGTTTGCAAAGTAATACTCAAATGCAAAGTACTGTTACTGCACTTCAGTTTGACACATTTTCGGGAACATACACTGATTTCTGTGAATTAATAACCTCTACTTGAAATCCCAGGAAGTTAAAAATTGAACGGAAATGTGTGACTTTCCATAATAAAATTCCATATATATGTTGGATCCCAGGATAGTGGCCGCGGCTTTGCCATTTTTATCTGGCATCTGAACTGAGAGGCCAGACGCCACCTCTGCCACTTGGAAGCATTTGTATCATCTGATTGTATTCATTTTTAAGGAAATGCTCAGAATTTTACCAAGAAAACACATATTTTTGAACAAATTAATCACTGCACTTGGGCCTCTCTCAGTGGGTTTATCCTTGCAATAATGATGGAAATTTTAGCACAAAGAAGTAATTTATCCAAACCATGCAGGATTCATGACTCATGAACATCAAGGCTCAGTGTGCCCTAAATGTAACTCTTGGGTGTATAACATTTCAGTAAGTTCTAATTTGGCACAAAGATGATCCTCCTAGCATATCTGGAAATTTTCTATAACTATGAAATTTTTTTGGAAAGCAAGCAGTGGCAAAATAAACGACGAGAAAAGAAAATACTTTCTGTGGCAAAACAAAAGAAGTAAAAAGTCAGATTTGCATTTGACCTTTTGAGATCATAGAAGCCTACAAACAAGAAAATGTGTGCCTGTGCGTGTGTGTGCCTGTGCGTCTGTGTGTCCCTGTGCGTGTGTGCCTGTGCATGTGTGCCTGTGCGTGTGCCTGTGTGCGTGTGTGTGCCTGTGCATGTGTGTGCGTGTGCGTGTGCGTGTGCGTGTGTGCCTGTGCGTGTGTCTGTGTGTGCATGTGCGTGTGTGCGTGTGCATGTGTGTGCGCGTGTGTGCGCCTGTGCGTGTGTGTGTGCGTGTTTGTGCCTGTGCATGTGTGTGCGTGCCTGTGCGTGTGTGTGTGTGCATGTGTGCCTGTGCGTGTGCCTGTGCGTGTGTGTGCGTGTGTGCCTGTGCATGTGCGTGTGTGCCTGTGCATGTGTGCCTGTGCATGTGCATGTGCCTGTGCGTGTGTGCCTGTGCGCGTGACTGTGCGTGTCCCTGTGCGTGTGCGTATGTGCCTGTGCGTGTGTGCCTGTGTGTGTGTGCATGTGCGTGTGCCTGTGCATGCGTGTGTGTGTGCGTGTGTGCCTGTGTGTGCATGCCTGTGCATGTGTGTGTGCCTGTGCATGTGCATGTGTGCCTGTGCCTGTGTGCGTGTGTGCCTGTGCGTGTGTATGCCTGTGTGTGTGTGCCTGTGTGTGTGTGCCTGTGTGTGTGCGCGTGCGCGTGTGCCTGTGCATGTGTGTGCCTGTGCGTGTGTGTGCATGTGTGCCTGTGCGTGTGTGTGATGTGCGTGTGTGTGTGCCTGTGCATGTGTGTATGTGCGCGCGCGTGCATGTGCATGCACATGAGTGTTTTAAGGAGTCCAGGGCACAGTAAACAACTGAGTCACATTGGCCGATCCCCCCGGCAAGGGATGGAAGTGGAGACTGCAGAGGTTGTTTTTGTCAGAGGGGAGAAAAGCCCAGGGCTTGAGTCCAGGTCACAGAGGCTCACAGAGCTGGCCACGCTTTACATGTCTTTGAAGCAAAATCTCAAGTAGTCCTTAGTGAATTTTTTCTACCAATTTAATTATGCCAGCAATTAAGTAGGATATCTCACATGTATCTTAACAGTCAAGCCAATTTGGCATAAGTTAGGAGATACCATTCCAGCTTTCTCTTTCTACCGCTACCCACTGTCCATCTAGAAGCTGTGTGCAGTGCTTTTACACCTTAGAGCTGAGAGGAGGACTCCAAATGCTGCCATCCAAGTCAGCACTGAGGACTGAGAGTGTGAGTTGCTTCTGCAGGAAGCTGGGCCTGGGTCTGCCTGCCTCCCAGGCGGAACATCACACTGATGGACAGTGTGGCAGGCCTGCTCCTTAGTGAGACTGATGATTCTTTTCTGCTTAGTCACAGGTTCCAAGTTCGTGGCCTTGCCAAATCTACTTGTGAACCCAGATTAACACCCTCCGTGAGGAGGGGCTGATGCGGTGCCCAGGCAGCTTGCCCCCTTACCTTCCCTGCTCTGTTCTCAGATCATAAAGGATCCACCTTTCACAGCCTCTTTTGTGCCTCAATTTTCCGTGTCCTGTTTTTGTTCGTTCTGTTAATTTCGCCATCTAGATGGCCTCTGGGCTGGTGCTGACACAGGCAGCGTCCGGTGAAGAAAGGCTTTTGGCGATCAGCACCACTTTCAGGAGCACAAAATACCACGCTTCTGTCACATGGGACAAGTGGCAGGTGTTCCCAAAAAGCTTCTGTAAGAGGAGGATTCAGAATCAAGACCCGCATGGGTGCCCGTCATCAAGATTCTAGGTGTGGTGAGCGTCACGGATGGGCTGCCTGGCACATCTTCCTCAACGCTTCCTTCGTTAAATAGAAAAGCTTGCTTTTCCGCACTTAGCCATCTAAGGCTCAGCTTTATCTTCGGGGGATGCTGTAAGGCAAAGAGCCCCACGTGCTCATTGGCCTAATGCAGCCCTTAGTACACATTAGGGTGTAAATGTGGTTTTCTGAATGACTAGTATTGTTTGTACTAAGACAAACAATAAAATAATAGTTCTTAATGTCTCCCCTTTTATGAAGAAAATCCTGTGACCTTTACACATGTTAACTCACTTAATCCACCCCACTACCCTACATGGTCATGGCCATTACTGTTCCCATTTGATGGATGAAGAAACTGAGGCATGGAGAACTTAAGGGACTTCCCCAAATTCCCAGAAGTTTCTGGAGCTGGGTTTCCAATCAAGGCTCCTGGCTTCAAAGCGTGAGTAAGCCCTCAGCTGTGTTGCCTGTGGCAGATAGGAAATAGGACCCTTCGGGGAACAAACACAGGGTTCCTGAGGCCCTGCCATTGGCTGTCTAACGTTACTTTAGTTAAAATGCTACTGAGGTGACGGGCTCCCCATAGGAAATGATGTCGGAGGTTGGACTGAGCTCTGCTCCATTTGTGGCAACATGAGTTATGCCACGTCCCCCTTTGTGCTGGATGGTGTGGCGGACGTGGCTGAGAGTGGCTTTGGCAGCTCATGGCACACACAGAGTGAGCACCTGTGCTCTGGTCTCTTCCTAGGCTGTGGCTTGCTCAGCCTTCAGAGAAAACTTGACAACCACCAGAAAATCTCATGATGTGCTTGCTTCTTTACAGAAAATCATTCTGCACCTCCTGACGTAACCACGTACACCTCAGAGCACTCAATACAGGTGGAGAGACCGCAGGGCTCCACGGGGTCCCGGACAGCACCCAAGTACGGCAACGCTGAGCTCATGGAGACCGGGGATGGTGCGTGTCAAAGCAGACATGTGTTTCTTTCTGGCAAAGTGCTGGTGCCAGTGTCCGTTTCTGTGCCTGTGACTGGGTGTGTTTCTTCCTGGGGAGCAATCAGTTCTGATAAAGCCAATAAATCAGATCTTTCAGCAACCTGTCATGGAAGGTCGCCTAGCCACAGAAATGTGAATATTCTCCAAGTGAGCCAAATGTTACTCCTTGCAGGAAAAATGTAAATGTAGGAATTTAGTCATGAAAAGAAAAAGAAATTTTATAAGATGTTGATGTTTTAGCTGCTGAATAATGGTGGTTCAGCAATTGAGAAATTATAGTACAGGTCTTAAGACTGTGAACAGTTACTTAGAAGAGCCAGATGAAGTGAAATGTACAGCAAAGTAATTGTGAGATGGGCCGATATGTCGCTTTAGACTTCCAAAGAAAGAGGGTCTTTTTTATCCATGTTGGACAGAGATATCAGTGATTTGGTAGCAGGCTGTGGCTGAGGGGTTCTTTATCCTTCCTCGTGACCTGGTCTCGGTATGTTCTAATTACAATGGCTGTTCGCATCACCCAGCCACTATTCTATATAAGTCTTAGTCCTTCCTGGGGTCATAAAAGTCAGAGTGGAGCCTAGCAGTGAAATACAATGCCCTTGTGAGAAGCTGCGTGGAGCCACCTTGGTGTGCCACCTTGTGGTGCACGGGTCTCGCAGGTGGACAGGGAGGCCTATCAAAGCTCCAATGGGCGCAGGGTGACAGGGAGGCCTATCTGAGCTCTGACAGGCGCAGGGTGACAGGGAGGCCTATCCGAGTCCCGGCAGGTGCAGGTGGACAAGGAGGCCTGTCTGAGCCCCAATAGGTACAGGTGGACAGGGAGGCCTTTCTGACCTCTGACAGGCGCAGGCGGACAGGGAGGAGGCCTATCCGACCTCTGACAGGTGCATTGCTGCGTTCTCACATGAGGCAGAGCCCGGCTGTGCCTTTGCAAGTGTCCAGTTAGTGCAATGACTTTTCCTGGAAGGCGTTTCAGTGTCATCATTTGCTTTAGTTCTCTAATCAATTCAGTCTTTACTAAATTGGCCATTTTTGTTATCTCGTCGTGGTCATTTTAATAACTGTGTCATCTTTCAAATCTGTCACCTTTGCCTTTGTTCTCCAGGTAAATCCTGCATCGTGTGTTGTGTGGTCTGTGTGTCGCAGCCTCCCACACCAGAATCCCAGGGGGCACTTGCTGGCACGGTGATTCTGGGCCACACCCCAGATGTCATGAGCTGGAAGTTAGGGGGCCCCCAAGGCAATTCTGCCAAATTAAGCTCGAGGATCACTGGCATCGTAGAATGGTCTCTGATTCATTGAACCAAATTAATTGGGCTATTTAATGGGAAAATACTATGGTTAGATGTTGAGAATTCTGTATTGTGTGTTTTTCTGTATTTTCAGAGATATGAAATATTTAATGTCTCAATTCTGAAAGTGCCCATAGAGCATTTTGAGACTATCTGTTAAAAATTCTTGATAGAAAAAATTTCCTTGAATTCTGTTCTGTTCCTCCAAATGTTGGAAGTCTGTTTTTTTGCTTTGAGATGGAATACTACTCTGTCACCCAGGCTGGAGTGCAGTGACGCGATTTTGGCTCACTGCACCCTCTGCCTCCCGGGTTCAAGTGGTTTTCCTGCATCAGCCTCCTGAATAGCTGGGATTACAGGCACCTGCCGCCATGTTCAGCTAATTTTTAATAGATTTCGCCATGTTGGCCAGTCTGGTCTCGATCTCCTGACCTCAGCTGATCCGCCCACCTTGGCCTCCCAAAGTGCTGGGATTACAGGCATGAGCCACCGAGCCTGGCTGAAGTCTGTTTTTTATGGTCCTCTGCAGGGGAAAACAAGGGCTCTGCCTAGGGTGAGGGGAAAGACCTACCAGCCGTGCCAGCAGAGCCCCCTGCAACGTCCAAGCCCGCAGCTCCGTGTGATGGTTTCTCAGGTCCTGCCGGCTGCACCTACAGAGCCCTCCACCCTCCCTACCGCCACCCCATCCCATCCAAGCCCATAGCTCTGGGTGATGGCTTTCTAGGTCTTGCCAACTGGCAGTGTGTCCCTGGGGAGGACGCTTTTGATCTGGTTGGGGCATCAATGTCTTGGTCCTCTGTCTTGTTCATTTATTTGATTTATTCATCTTGAAATTTGAAAGCTTTTTTTTTATTAGTTCATTTAGTTGATTTTCAAAATGATACAGCATTCATCATTGTAACTAATAAGCACAGTATTATAAAATGGGGATTTTCTCAGCACATTGGATAGGTATGTGCTAGTATTCTGTTACACAAAAATTTGAGTTTAGAGACTTTAACTTCTGTCGCTTTAGAATGCATTGCCTATGTGTGGGCTGAGCGTGGGTTTGGAACTCGTGTGAGGAGCTCAGCCTTTATTAGAAGACAGGGCTTGGGCGTGTTGGTTCTGGAACCTGAACCCTGGGCTGTGGGGATGCTGGGGGTTCCCAGATGTGACTCACTGTCCTGATGTTCTCATGCCTCTGTGAGGCTAAATGCTGGTGGTCTCTGTAGAGACAGACTCAGGGAAGGACTTACTGCTCCACTGGCAGTCTCACCCTGTTGAGAAGTGGGGCCTGGGGCAGTGGGAATGAGGAGAGTCTGCCTTCTGCAGATGGCAAATTCTGTCCTGAGAATCAGAGCTGAGGTCAAGCATGTGTGGTCCTGAGGCTCTTCCCACTGTGACCAGCAGAGCAGCACATCCTGGAGCATGGTGGACATTTGGGTCCCATGCATCTCCGTCCTGTCTCCTGCATAGCTGCAGGGCTACTGTGCAGCAGCTTCACCTCCGGCCCCTCCCGGGATCGCGTCTAGAAGGATTCCAGCCTGTTGCAGCTGCACTGGGGATGGGGCTGTGGTACTGTGGGTGCTTGTTCAAGCTGTGATGATTGCTTCCCCTTCCCCATTTTTCAGGAGTACCAGTAAGTAGCCGGGTGTCGGCAAAAATCCAGCAGCTTGTCAATACCCTCAAACGACCGAAACGACCACCTTTACGAGAATTCTTTGTCGATGACTTTGAAGAATTATTGGAAGGTGAGAGAACTCTTCCCCACACGTTTCTTTCAGATGCTCCTGTGGTCCCATAAACAATGACACTTTTTCTACAAGGCTCTTTTACTTTTTAAGAGCAGTCCCATTGGCCTTCACGGGATGACAGGAACCCAGGTTGGGAGGAGGTGATGTTCCTGGGTGGCCGCAGTGGCGGCAGATCTCTTACCTGGTTGTTAGTTGTCCTCTGCATAATGTGATTTTCTTCGGTGACACAGGTCAGGTCTGTTCTTAAGAACTCTGTAAGAGAATAGAAATACAAGAAAAGTATAAAAATACAGAAAAGCAAGTAAACTGGGGAAATCCTTTGCTCTCAGCAAAACAGGCACTCTGAATGTGTTTGAAGGGCTGTCTCCTCCCCTCCTCCTCCTGCCTCTCCTTACAGACGCCAGAGCTGCTGGCTTTGCCTCTGAATGCTTCTGGGTCTTTCTACACAAACAACTTAAAGTTGAAACAAATAAAATAATCACTCGTTATAGCAAACTTCAGCTCCTTATTATCTTATGTGTTAAACCACAAGTAAAAATGACTGATTTTCTTGTTAGTCATAAAGTGAGAGATGAACCTGTTCCAGAAGTGGGAGTGATAATTTCCATTCTTCCCTCTCTCATGGATTGGGCAGGTGGTATTTAACTATGACACACTGGATTTAGTTTTACTTGGGAACATACTCGCTCCACGCTTCTGTTATTCAGAGTAGTTGTAGCAGATTTGAAAGTACAGCTCAGGCCAGGTGCGGTGGCTCACACCTGTAATCCCAGCACTGTCAGAGACCAAGATGAGTGGATTACTTGAGCCCAGGAGTTTGAGAACAGCCTGGGCAAAACCTCTCTCTACCAAAAAAAAAATCTAAAAATAGCTGAGCATGGTGGTAAAAGTAGCTGGGCACAGTGGTAAAAGTAGCTGGGCATGGTGGTGCACACCTGTAGTCCTAGCTTCTTGGGAGGCTGAGGTCATTAACCTGAGCCTGGGAGGTTGAGATTGCAGGGAACTGTGATCATGCCACTGCATTCCAGCTAAGACAAAAGAGAGAGATCCTGCCTCCGAAAAGAAATTTACTGTTTAGTCTTTAAGGACAAAACATAATTTAGCAAATTTAAGCAATTTGGGTTGCAAAATCACTAGTTTATCATGGAAAAAGTAGTGATGGGAGCACATCATGGCTGTTTAATGCCAGGCTTTTGGCACAATGTGGTTCGCAGTGTTCCACTTGCTGTCAGTTTGGAGATGTGTCCAGGTCCACCGAAGTGTCCTATCCACATGCTATCCTGGAAATTACAAGAATTGATTTTTTTACCAGCATCCACGATGCCAGTGTATAGACCGCAATTCTAGATAAGCATGCTTTTCTGTCGGCTAATACATGTGCACCTTAAATATAAATCTCGTGGCTTCTTTATGAAGAATAAAAAGTAGCCATGCTAATGTGGATGCATTTCTCTTGTAACCCCTTGTATTCAAATGATTTAGTTCAACAACCAGATCCAAACCAACCAAAGCCGGAGGGGGCCCAGATGCTGGCCATGCGTGGAGAGCAGCTGGGTGTGGTCACGAACTGGCCGCCATCGCTGGAGGCCGCACTGCAGAGGTGGGGCACCATCTCACCCAAGGCCCCCTGCCTGACCACCATGGACACCAACGGGAAGCCCCTCTACATCCTAACTTACGGTAATCCCCAAGGTTCACCCTCTGTCCTTTGTCCATCCCTGTCCGTCTGCATCCTCACTTACGGTAATCCCGGAGGCTCAACCTCTGTCCTTTGTCCATCCCCATGCCTCTAGGTCCTCACCTACGGTAATCTGGAGGCTCACTCCCTGTCCTTTGCCCATCTCTGTCTCTCTACATCTTCACTTATGGTAATCCCGGAGTCTCACCCTCTGCCCTTTCCCTATCCCTTCCCTCTACATCCTCACTTACAGTAATCCGAGAGGCTCACCCTCTGTCCTTTGTCCATCCCCGTGCCTCTACATCCTCACTTACGGTAATCCCCGAGGCTCACCCTCTGTCCTTTGTCCATCCCTGTCTCTCTACATCCTCACTTACGGTAATCCCCGAGGCTCACCCTCTGTCCTTTGTCCATCCCTGTCTCTCTACATCCTCACTTATGGTAATCCCCGAGGCTCACCCTCTGTCCTTTGTCCATCCCTGTCCCTCTACATCCTCACTTATGGTAATCCCCGAGGCTCACCCTCTGTCCTTTGTCCATTCCTGTCTCTCTGCATCCTCACTTACGGTAATCCCCGAGGCTCACCCTCTGTCCTTTGCCCATCCCCGTGCGTCTACATCCTCACTTATGGTAAACCCCGAGGCTCACCCTCTGTCCTTTGTCCATCCCTGTCCCTCTACATCCTCACTTATGGTAATCCCGGAGGCTCACGTTCTGCCCTTTTCCCATCCCCTCCCTCTACATCCTCACTTAACGGTAATCCCCGAGGCTCACCCTCTGTCCTTTGTCCATTCCTGTCCCTCTATATACTCACTTACGGTAATCCCAGAGGCTCACCCTGTTCTTTATCCATCCTTGTCCATTTACATCCTCACTTAAGGTAATCCAGGAGGCTCACCCTCTGTCCTTTGTCTATCCCCGTGCCTCTACATCCTCACTTAACGGTAATCCCAGAGGCTCACCCTCTGTCCTTTGCCCATCCCCTTGGGTAGCCACTCCCAAACACTTGAAACTCAGTGTCCTTTATTTTGGGTGGCTGATTGATTTTTGTGCTGCCTTATGTTTCTTGCACAGAAATAAATGGAATCTAAAGAAACATTTTAGGAAAATTATTTCAGTATAAGAAGTATTTGTTAAGTTTTTTTTTTTGGTTAACACCAGAAATGATTGCTTAAAGCAGTGACCATAACTCTAATAAGATGTTAGATCTTCTTAAATACATACGTGGTTTATTGAAATGCTAAGCTTTCAACTAGATTGCTGGTTAGAAAAATGTATATCTAAACTTTCTGATATGTATCAGAAGAAACAAAATTTGTTTCCAGAGGACTTTTTCAGAAGGACAGAGAAGCCTTTTTCTTAAGTCTCCAGTACAATCAATACAGGCTGTAAACTGTTGGCACATGGTAGACAGTAGCAGAGAAATGCGTTTCTCTTTCTTCTGTGGGTAAGAGGCCATGGAGAAGCAGATCGTCAGACCCTTTTCTCACTTTCTGCCTCAGCTTTGCAAAGAAACTAGCTTAGTAACTGAAAGGCTGGCAGGGTAGCTCACGCCTGTATTTCCAGCTGCGGGGGAGCTGAGGCAGGAGGATCACTTGAGCCCGGGAGTTCAAGGCTGCAGTGAGCTATGATCGCATCACTGCCCTCCAGCCTCAGTGACAGAGCAAGACCCCATCTCTAAAAAATTAATTGGAATTTGTAAAAGATAAGAAAATAACTGAAAGACTAAAATGGTTCACATTATGTCTGCATGTGTGAGATTTATGTTGACAGTTGAGATTTTAAACATAGCTATTTCGATTCCAGGCTCTTGGCACCTGCTGACGTGGCTCCAGCTGTTGTCAGTTGCAGATTTTGTTTTTAACTTTAGATTTTGTGGTAATAACACTTTTTTGATTGCAGGTAGGAAAGGAATTGATTTATACATTAGCCATGGAAGTCAGAGCCAGATGCTGTATTGAATCATGGAACCTCATAGAGCCTAGCCTTTTGCAGGGGGAGCTCCAGGAGGCAGCAGCTGTAGATGCATGCCTTTCACAGCAGATGTGGGATTTGGGCTTGGGAGCACATTGGGTTTGGGAGCTCATCATTGGGTTTGGGAGCTCATCACTGGGTTTAGGAGCACATCATTGGGTTTGGGAGCATCTCTCTGGGTTTAGAAGCACATCTTTGGGTTTAGGAGCACATCTTTGGGTTTGGAGGTGCATCACTGGGTTTGGAAGCACATCTTTGGGTTTGGAGGTGCATCACTGGGTTTGGGAGCATGTTGGGTTTAGGAGCATGTGTTTCGTAGCCCCATTTGCTTTTATGGCTTCAATGAGTAGTTTTAAATGGATAGTGTGTGTCTTCCATGATGGAGCATAAACTTTATTTTTTAAATTACGCTCTCAGAAACAGGTTTTTTTTTGGGTCAAAAGGATGAAAGACTTTTCTGTGTGACCCTCATCTCTGGCCAAATTTGGTCCAGGAGCTAATTGTGTACTTGGAGTCGCTGCTGTGTGACAGCTGATGGCCACCAGGGTCTCCCCATCTGTATGCGGGGAATTCCAGGAGCAGCCGTGTGTTCACGGGTGCTTGCATTCACTCTGAGAAGTAACAGATGTTCTCTTGGATGTGTTAAGCATGCACTATTCATTGTCACGGCACTGAGGTTTGGGAAATCGAAAATGAATGAGACACAGTTCTTACGGGGCTCGTGATCTTGATCAGAAATATTGCCCCTCGCGTTGAACAGCGGAGTAGTGTTGGTGTCTTTCCCTTTCCTGCAAGGTTAGGATGAATTGGAGATGAAAGACACAGACTGAATATTATACATGTAAAGTTGGATTCATCAGAACTCATGCCCACAACCAGTGTATTTTAACTCCTGCTTTTAAATCATCTATATTTTGTTGTATTTTAATTATCCATATTAATTGCAGGCTGTGGGTTGATCTTGGTTTTTACTTGTTAAAGGAATATAAGAAAGGAACACGTTCCCAGATGTTAGATTACAGCTTATTGGATGAATACGCAGTGAACATGGTGGAAAGTGCCATCTATGCAGAAGCACTAATGTAGATGAACGAATGATTGGCTGTTGCTAAGAAGACTCAGAAGCAAGCTCATCAAATGAGAATTGTTCTAATACTGAGTAATTTGGTATAACTAAAGGGCTGCCCTATCTAAAGTCTTGCTGTTTCCCTCAACCCCCAAATCTAGCTTTCTGTGAAGCGCCGGGGTAGCAGAATTCCCAGCTGATAAAACTTAGGATCATCAATAGAAGGTATAGGTGGCTAATGAAAGTGAACCACAAGTGAATAAACTTGTAAAACATCTATAATTCTGGTTTCCACTTTAGACTACATGTGGCATTACATGATCTTAATAAGAGTAAGTCATGCTGTGCAGTTAATACCTTTTAGCATGTCCTACCTCGCAGAAGCTCTTCAGTACTTTCTTCCTCTGCTACCTCTGTGGTTTTCGGGAGAGACTTAAGAGTTCATTTTGCTTTCTCTACCAAGCAGATGCTCGTGTTCATCTCCCTTTTTATGTTTTATTTATTTAAGGTTTACTTTTGCTCCAGATGTTTCAAGAAATCTATATGGTTGAACTAGCAGAGCACCCAGCCACCTTTCTATGGCCTTTCTGCGTTTCACATGGTTGAGGGTGTCTCTCAAGCTCCCACCTTGTACCCAGGCTTGCTCTGGTTCAGCCCGTCATCACTCACTGCCTCGCTCCTCAGCAGTGACACACACTGTACAGTTGCATGTTCCTCACTCAAAGCCAAGGGAAATTATAATTAATATCTAATACAACAGTGCTTACATCACACACATCTCCTTTATGCATCAGTTAAGAGCTGCTGTATCTTTATATCAGCAGCTTAACGTTGTGACTTTTCTCTTTGAGAAGTATAAAAATACCAACTATATTTCAAGAATTTTGCCAAAAGTTTACATGTGTTTTAGCCTTTTCAAACTCTTTATTGTAAACTAGCTTCTGTGTGAACTTGGGATTTCAAGACTCTTAGCTGAGAATGGAGTTGAAACTTTCACAAACTATAATGGTGCTAATTGAGTGTAATTGATTTATTCAGTAATAACACATTTTCTTTCAATTGCAATGAATTGATTGTAATTGTTTACCCAACTATAATAGTTCCCTAATCTTGTTCACATTAAAGAAATCTAAAGCCACAAAATAACTGTTTTTGTTGGGGGAAAAATACTCCTGAGTTACATCTAATGAGCCAGTGATGGTTTTCAGGAAAAGAAAATCCTCAAATGGAATTCCAGATGACTGTAAAGCTGCCAGTCTTGAAGACTGCCCACGGTGTTAAGGATGAGAAGTTAAAGAAGATGTGGGGGAGGGAACATGAATAAAAGTGTGTGTCTAGCAGTGAAGTGCTCAGGAATATGCTAGAATGTACACTGTAACTTTGTACTTCATTATAGCTCGCCTGTGATATTAGAAAAATGAAACATTTGCGAAGCACGCACTATGAACAGGAACTGTTCTAGGAACTAGAGCCATCAGAGATAATCATTCTCTTTGCTCTCCCATTAGTAAGGAGATAAATTCTGTGGTAGACAAATAACAACACTAATCGGAGGAGCTCTCATTCTGATATGAAATAAATTGAGAGTTTTGAAATTTGCATTGTTACAGACAAAATCTTTGATTTAGTGTTTACATTTAAAATAGGGAAAGATTAAAACAGTGATTGCATTGAAACAGAAAATAGTTAAGATTGCTATTACCTTTATTACCCTATTATTATGTCTCCTGACACCTTGACTACTGAAATGCTCTCACAGATGCAGTCCTGAGACTGGGTTGTAAAAGGCCATGGTGTATTGAAGAACTCACTTTAGGCTTTAAAGTCATTGTTTGATCTCTGACTGCTTACTTGACCTGATAAAGCTGAGGCCGGGATGTGAAGGAGGTGGGTTCTTCAGAGCCAGGCCCTTTTTCTAGTGTTTGTTTTTAATCTTGCTTTGTGGTAATGTTCGTAGAGTTCAGAAATTTTAAATAATTTCAAATATTTACCATTATCTGAATCCAAGGATTTGTGTTTAAAAACCCTAAACCCCTGAGGTTAGGAAAGTTTGAAGGTGAGAAACGCAGGACTTGGGGAAGGAAAGAGGCTGTTTGGAGCGAGCCTCTCGAGGCTGTTTTTTGCTCTGTCTTCATCACACTCACGTGGGACCGGCTGTGGATGAGGGACGTGTCACCATGCGTGACGTGGCAGTGACGTTGTTGCGGGGACCCCCCAGGACTTCCTCCTGACACCCTTACCCATGGTTTCTGTACTGATAATTGGCTTTTTCAGTGGCTTTGCTGCAGGCACTTCACACACGGAGAGGTGATTTGTTTTGTGCGGGCCTTGTTCCAGTGTCCAGGCAGCTCTGACTGTCAGAGTTGGAGTCAGTGCTTTTACTCCAGGGACTCGGGATGAGTTGAATCTTTGACCTGCAGGAAGAGGGTTCTCAGGGCCCTTCCGTTCCCTGGCAGTGCCATCTCAGCTGGGCGGATCCCAGCGCTCTGATGGTGCGTGCCCTGTGGGCACCTCCCACCCCGTCACAGACAGATCAGAAGACAGGCCAGTGCTTGGTTTTCACTTGTTATTTTCATTCTCTCCTGAAGTTTCGTCTTTAGAACCCCTGCTGCTTTTCTGCTTTCACTCAGTTTCAGCTCTCGCCTACCAGTTGCCCCTTTGCTCAGCTGTCCTTGGTTCAGGTCAGTTGCAGACCATGATACGCAGGAAGCAGAACGGATGCATGTCCTAGACGTGGGTTTGGAGCAGTGCTCTTGTGTGATTTAACATGCACACTTGTCTGTGATTTGTATTCATAGGCAAGCTGTGGACGAGAAGTATGAAGGTCGCTTACAGCATTCTGCACAAACTAGGCACAAAGCAGGAACCCATGGTGCGGCCTGGAGACAGGGTAAGTGCAATGTAAATTGCTGGATCCAGAAAACACACAGTCCCGTGTGGAGAAGGTGCCTACTGTTTAATAATTCCAGAGTTCAGCGCTGCCGCCACCACTCTCCATTGGAAAGCAAATTTTTATTCTTACCTGCGGCCTGGTAAGGTACACAGGGCAGATACTATTAATAGTGTCTCCTTTCTGATGTTACATCCTGAGCAGGTCGTGGTCTTGTCCACGCTTTATACCCCAGTCTAGACGTGGGGCTTGGTTTAGAACCTGGTTTTCTTGCATTGGCATGTAGAGCCTCTTAATGTGCTTTAGATGCCCCAAGATTAGGTTATCCTGCCTAAAGGACTCCAAGTGAGTTACATAAATACATCATTTAGAGCTCCATAAACAAGAGCACGAGCTTTGATGACTTCAGCAGTACTACAAAGGCATGAGTCTGCTGTGGGGCATGTTCCACAGATTGCAGCAGCTCCAGGAGACTGGTGGACTGGGATTCTTCCCATTTTTTATTGAACACGTTTGGCCTTTAATTTTTAAAAGTAAATTGTAGGTGTCATATTTCCTGATGACAAAATTGACTGCAAAGCTGTAATAATCACAACAGTGTGGTACTGGCTTAGTGACAGACATATAAACCAAGGGAACAGAATGAAGAGCCTAGAGATAAACTCTCATGTATATGGACAAGTGATATCCAGCAGGGTGCAAAGATATTCAGTGGGGAACGGGCAGTCTTTCCGAAGCACAGTGCTGGGAAAATTGGATATCCACCTACAAGAGAATGAAGTCAGACATTTACCTGATGTCATGTGTAAAAAAAAATCATTCAAAATGGACCAAATGTAAGAGCTAAAACCAAAACTTGGAAAAAAAAAACGTAAAATGGAAGAGCCGAAACCAAAACTTGGAAGAAAACATAAAATGCCTCAGAAAATATGGAGAAAATACCTCATGACGCTGGATTTGGTAACAGTTTCTTGGATATGACACCAAAAGCACAGGCAACAAAAGAAAAAATAAATTGAACTTTGTTTAAATTAAAAATGTTTGTACATCAAAGAGCACTATCAAGAGAGTGAAAAGGCAGAATGGGAGAAAACGTTTGCAAATTATTTTCCAACAGATTAATATCCAGAATATTTAAAGAATTCCTACAACTCGCTACCACCACCGAAAGAAACAATAAAAATGTTTAAACGGGCCAGAGACTTGAATACACGTTTCTCCAAGAAGATTTGCCAATGGCCGATAAACACATGAAAAGCTACTCAGCATCGCTGATCAGGAAAATGCAAACCAAAACCTCAGTGAAATGCCACTTGACACCAAGATGGATGGCAATTACCAAACCACAGAAAAGGGCACGTGTTGGCAAGGATGTGGGGGATTGGAACCCTTGTGTGTTGCTGGTGAAAATGTAACATGGTGCAGCCTCTCTGAAAAACATTATGACAGTCCCTCAAAAAATTAAACATAGAATTACCATTTGATCCAGCAATTCTCCTTCTGGGTATGTACCCAGAAGGATTGAAAACAAGTTCTAGAAGAGATACTAGAACACTCAGACTCAGCAGCCTACTCAGAAAACCAAACGGTAGAAGCAACCCCAAATACATGGAACAGGACGTGGATTTCCCTTTAGAAGGGAGGACATTCTGGCACATGCTACATGGATGAGCCTTGAAAAAGCTATGACTGGTAACATAAGCCAGGCACAAAGCAAGTATTGCGTGATTCACTTATAGGAGCCTAACTGCCCAGCGGGTTCACCTTGCCCGCTGCCTAGCCAGAGCCACTTTATCTAGCTGGGAATTGCAATGGAGAAGGAGTAATTAACGCAGAGCTGGCTGTGCGAGGGACAGGAGTTTGATCCCCAAGCCTTCGAGGATCAGATCAGAGTTTTTAAGGATAGCTTGGTAGGAAGTGGGGAGTGCTGACTGGTCAGGTTGGAGATGGAATCATAGGAGGTCTAAGCGAGTTTTTCCTGGGTAGCATCACTGAACTGGGTGAACCAGGTGACCTGTCAGCTACTCCATCAAGTATAAGGTCTGCAAATTATCTCAAGCCCCGATCTTAGGTTTTATAATAGTGATGTTATCTCCAGAAGCGATTTGGGAGGGTCAGACTGTTGGAGCCAGAGGCTTTATGACCCCAAATGGTAATTTCTAGTCTCGTAGCTAATTTGTTAGTCCTGCAAAGGCTGACTGGTCCCCTGGCAAGAAGGGAGCCTTTTTGGGAAAGGGCTATTATCAGTGTTGTTTCAGAGTCAAACCATAAACTGAATTCCTTCCCGAGGTTAATTTGGCCTATACCCAGGAATGAACAAGGACAGCTTAAAGGTTAGAAGCAAGATGGAGTCGGTTAGGTCTGATCCCTTTCACTGTCATAACTTCTGCAGTTACAGTTTTTGCAAGGGTGGTTTTCTGAGGTGCCTAGAGTAGTCAGACTGTAGAGAAAGAAAGTAGAAGGGTAGTGCTAGGGTCTGGGGGAGGGGAATGCAAAGTGATGTTTAATAGGGATAGAGTTTCGGCTTGGGAAGATAAGGTTTGAGAGACGGCTGGTGAGGGTGGTCGTACAACAGTGTGATTGTACTTAATGCTAGTGACTTCTGCATGTAAAAATTGTTAGAACCATAAATGTTGTGTTGCCACAACAATGAAATGGTAAGTGTCATGGAATATTTCCTTTATCTGCAATGTGGTTCATAGTCTTAATAGTTTTTTAAAAAATTCTTTAGGGTGGCCTCCAGATTCTTAAAGTTTCAGTGTAACAATAATTACAAAATAAACTCCTGTGTTCCTCTAAGATGTCCGTAGGGATACAGGAGCACAGTTTGAATGAAATACATAAAAAGGCTTTTTTGGGCAGGGATTGATTTAGATTGGTGGGTCAGCCCCTTTAGAAAAAGGGGCTACTTTTCTAAAATTTTTCTTACGAAAGAGTATCTGAGAAGGCCTCTCAAAAAAGATGAGCCTATAGCTCTTGGGCAGGTACCAGGAAGTAGTGTGGAAGGTGCTGAAGCATTTGCCTGGACAGTGGGGCCGGCTGTGTGCAGAGCCCTGGGGGGCAGTTGGGAGGAAGCTGGGAGTCCCTCGCTCCGCTGAGGAGGCTGGGCTTGTGTCTCCTGACTGGCTGATGCCTCCTCTGTGAATCATCAGTTGCAGTCAGGTATCAGAGAAGCACACAGAGGATTGAGTGGACAGAAACCATGTGGGTTGACAAAAATCAAGCATCTTTGCATTCGTACAGTATTGTTTTGGGATCACTATGGGGGTACCAGTAAAACAGGATTTGTGACTGATTCGCATATTGAAGGAATGCCTAACAAAAATGATGTAAGTACAAACTTCTTTTTCCTAAAACAAATTGCAAAATAATTCTCAGTTTTGATGCCAAAAGAGCCTTTACGTATTTGACCCTTTTTTCTCCATTACTTATATTGTCGCATCCACACAATAATGTACAATTTTAAATTCTGCTTTGTCAACTTTTCACATTTCATTACAACTCTGCAGTGGTCTATAATATGGAATTTTCAGCATTAACTCTGAATAGTGATAAACCAGTGAGAATGTTAAACCCTTGGTAAGGAAGAACTTCTTTGAGCAGAGGTGCCAGGAGCCGGGAGAGGAGCCAGACTCAAGATGCTTCTCGGGAGAGGGCTGTCCGCGGTCTGGCTGTGGGGATGACAGGTATCCTCTCCAGCTCAGCTGTGTGCTCTTGGTGAAGACTGTACCTGCAGAGCTGGTATTCTGGGAAGAATAACGAGTCGGAATTGAACACGTGCAATTCTTTATGAATGTGTGCAACCATCAATTTTGGATGGAACTTCAACATCTTCTGAATTGTCTAACTTAGTTTCCTGGTATTTTTTGGTCTGCCTTAGGGGAAGAAGCAGTGGTAATGTGGAAATCTTATATTTAACTGAATACTGTTTGTCAAGATCTGAAAAACATGCCATCAGCTCGCAGTCCATCGGATGACACTCATGACTAGTATAAACTCAGCTCTGCATGAGTTACTCTTTCTCCATTACAATTCCAGTCTAGATGATTCGGCTCTGGCTAGGTAGTTTTAAGAAAGAGTTGGTTGTGGCTTATCTGCATAGATGTGCAAATCATTTCATTCCTTTTCTAACTCTTACTAGCAGATTGTAGTGGACTGTAGAAATGCCACACAGAAAGGAAATATTCATAGAATCCAGAACTTGATTTTGTGTCTGCCAGTTTCCTGCATCTCTGTCTTTCCAGCACGGCCTGTCCCCTCTCAACGACCATCTGGATCCTTTCACGTCAGCCTGCTTGCTTAGATACAGAGATTATCAGGATGTTTGTCTAAAGCTGTTCACAATGAAATTAGTTACAGTTAGGACATTTTTAATAAAAAGTTGTTTCAGTTCAAGAATGAGGGCTGACGTGGTGGCTCATACTTGTGATTCCAGCATTTTGGGTGGTCAAGGCAGGCAGATCACCTGAGGTCAGGAGTTCGAGACCAGCCTGACCAACATGGTAAAACTCTGTCTCTACAAAAAATATTTAAAAATTGGCTGGATATGGTGGCACACGCCTGTAATCCTGGCTACTTGGAAGGCTGAGGCAGGAGAATCGCTTGAACCTGGGAGGCGGAGGTTGCAGTGAGCTGAGATTGCATCAGTGTATTGCAGCCTGGGTGACAGAGCAAGACTCCATCTCAAAAATGGTGCATATGTACTAAATCATAGGGTTCATGTGCTGATGAAAACATACCAAACTTGTCTATAAGGAAGAATAACACTAAAGCTACCAGTAACCTGTGTTAAAATAGAAGCAGAGTTCTGCTGGACATCGTGGGAATCCAGAAATAGGGTTGTCTGTTAAAACTCTATCATTGAAGGAAAATTGTTCTTCCTCAGGACACACCATACTGTTAAGGACTATCAGAAAACATTTAGAAATCATATTGGCCAGGCACACTGGCTCACATCTGTAATCCCAACACTTTGAGGGGGCCAAGGCAAGAGAACTGCTTGAGGCCAGGAGTTAGAGGCCAGCTTGGGCAACATAGCAAGACCCCATCTAAAAATATTTTTTTAAAAATCAGCTGGTTGTGGTAGTGCCCACCTATAGTCCCAGCTACTCAGGAGGCTGAGGCAGGAGGATCACTTCAGCCCAGAAGTTCAAGGCTGCAGTGAGCTATGATTGTGCCACTGTATTCCAGTCTGGGCAATAGAGTGAGAATTTGTTTCTTAAAAAAAAAAAAATCATACTATCTATTAGGTACCAATATTACCTGATGATAATTTACATTAACCACACTTTTAGAACTCTGCGACAAATCTACTCTTAGGAACTTGGTTCCTAAGAGAAGCTGAGCTAGGCAGGATGAGTTGGTATCACATACAGGCAGCTACACAGGGAAGACTTTGCTGCCAGGGCAGGGCCACAACACGTGCATGTGTGCGGCATCAGGTGACCATGCTGCCAGGCCCAGTGCCAGTCACTTAATGTCCACCAATTCACACGTGTGTCAGGCATCAGGTGACTGACCGTGCTGCCAGGCCCGGTGCCAGTCACTTAGTGTCCACCAATTCACACGTGTGTCAGGCATCAGGTGACTGACCGTGCTGCCAAGCCCAGTGCCAGTCACTTAGTGTCCACCAGTTCACACGTGTGTCAGGCATCCCACTGAGCTCTCTACATTCTCTCGTTTGACCTTTACCAAACATAAAGACAGGCTCTATCATCTTTCCCACTTTTGAGAGAAGAAAACTAAGGCGTGGAGAGGCCACAGTTGTGCCTGAGATCCAGAGCTAAACACTAACATGGGATCTGAGTTGAGTCCTGTGCACAGCTTAGTGAAGAATGGCACAGCTGTCCCGTGACAGTTATGAAGACTCTGTAGAAACACAAGGAGGCATTTGCAAAGCTTAATGAGCAGCAGTAGGCTATAACTTCATCTGTGTGAAAACGTGTGGGTATGGATGCAGATAAAGGCAGTTGTACTCTGGTGACGGTGTCATAGACGATTGTTCACGTGTGTCTTCTACCTGAATTAAAGGCAAGGCATGTGATGCTTACTAAAACACAGCTTCCTGAAATGCATAGGGCACCTGATTTTCACTGAGGCATGCCCTCTTACCTAGAACCAGGCTCCTCTGCGGCATCTTAGGAAGCCAGGATCCCACATTAACGCTGACCCCGCTCTGCCTATCCTGCAGGTAGCACTGGTGTTCCCCAACAACGACCCAGCCGCCTTCATGGTGGCTTTCTACGGCTGCCTGCTGGCGGAAGTGGTCCCTGTGCCCATCGAGGTGCCGCTCACGAGGAAGGTAAGGAGCGTGCCCTTTGGTTGGTCTCACTGGGTGACATGGTTTTCATGGTGGCAGTCTCCCAGCAGGGTGAAGGCCTCCTCGCTGTTCTGAGACACTGGGTTTCTTTTGGTGGCCTCAATAAGGGGTGTGGTCACTAGTGGCCCGCACAGCTGGGATGGGTGCCCCCGAGGTGGAGCACAGCTTTGGGGTCAAATGTGGAGCAGTAGCGTCTTGGTCAGTAAAGCAAGGATGTTTGAGAATCCTGTTCCTTGGTGTCATGTGCACTAGAATTGGGGTAAATAATAGTTTTTTTAATTTATCATTTTCTCAATGATGGTGGATGTTGCTTTTGTTCCGGTTTTCACGTCACCCAGTCCCAGGTTGACCTGTGACTCGTCAGATCTTATTCTATAATTAAACCACTAAACTTACTATAATAATTATTGTTTAATCCAATATAAAAAAATTAATGTGCATTGTAAATGAAAAAATATTTGAGTTAGGTCTCAATTTAGAATTGTGTTTTGCCAGAATTAAGGACATGGCCCTGACACAGCTTCACGAGGTCCTGAGAACATGGGCCAAGGTGGTCAGGCTACAGCTTCTGAAGGTCCTGAGAACATGAACTAAGGTGGTCGGTCTGCACCTTCTGAAGGTCTTGAGAACATGGGCCAAGGTGGTCAGGCTGCACCTTTTGAAGGTCCTGAGAATATGGGCCAAGGTGGTCAGGCTGCAGTTTGGGTTTATACGTTTTAGGGAGACCTGAGACATTAGTCAATACATGTAAGACATATGTTGGTTTGGTCTAAAAAGGCAGGACAGCTTGAAGCAGAAGTTGGGGGCCTTCCAGGTCACAGGTGGAGTCTAAGATTGTCTGATTGGCAGATGGTTGAAAGAGTTCATCTAAAGCCCTGGAATCAATAGAAACCAGTGTCTTAGGATTAGGGATTGTGGAGACCAAGGTTTTTATTATGTGGATGAAGCCTCCAGGTAGCTTCAGAGAGAATAGATGTAAATGGTTCTTATCAGACTTAAAAAGGTGCCAGACTCTTAGTTACATCTCCCCTGGATCAGGAAGAGGACCTAGAAAAGGGAAGGAGATTCTCTACAGAATGTAGATTTTCCCCACGAGAGAGCTTTATAGGACTATTTCAAACTATGTCAAAGCAATGTATTTTGAGGTAAAATACTTTAATTTCTTTCAGGGCCTGTAATTTGTCATGTTGGTATCTTATTGCTACAAAGAGTCTGTTTAATGCCATTGCCTGGTCAGCTGTACCTGAGCTTCAGAGGACAAGGGTGTAAGGCACGTCCGACCCATCCTCCCCTTCATGGCTGAACTGGTTTTTCAGGTTAACTTTGGAATGTCCTTGGCTGAGGGAAGAGGTCTCTTCAGTTGGTTGAGGGACTTAGAATTTTATTATTGGTTTATTCTACATATCAATATAAGGTTGTAGTCCTTGTGGATAGTTTGTTCCTCTGTACAGCAGAGTTACGGTAACTTTAAGAGACGTAAAGCAGAGTGGCTGCAGTGCAGGGCATGCTGCCGCTACCTGCAGGACGGCCAGTCCTGTGGGCGTAAGCCAGCGCTATGCACCCTGAGGGACCACTGGGTCTGAACCTGTGATGTGCCTGTGGACACTTCCTTGAACCCATCAGCTCCCTTCAGTGCATTGCTTTTTTGTTTTTTCAGATGGAGTCACTCTGTCTCCCAGGCCTGAGTGCAGTGGCACAATTTCAGCTCACAATTTCAGTGGCACCCTTCAGCTCTACCTCAAGGGTTCAAGTGATTCTCCTACCTCAGCCTCCCGAGTAGCAGGGATTACAGGTGTGCACCACCACGCCTGGCTAATTTTTATTTTTTTAATAGAGACAGGGTTTTGTTATGTTGGCCAGGCTGGTCTTGAACTCCTGACCTCAGGTGATCTCCCTGCCTTAGCCTCCCACTGGACTGGAATTACAGGCATGAGCCACTGTGCCTGGCCCCTTCAGCACATCTTTAATGAGTACACCGTGTGGGTGACTCTTCTAGCTCTAAAAGGCAGCAATCACTGGTAGCCCAGGATAAGAATTTCCAAAGGAACTTTCGGCTGTCTTTGTGGCTACTCCGACATGAAAGTTTGTGGATTCAATATTTAAGAAAACCGTCTGCCACCTCTTGGAACATATCATGGGTATCTCTTCAGAGTCTGTGCCAGTTATATGGTTGCGTTTCAAACTCTGCCCCTTGGATGAGGAGGGAGAGAATATGGGATTCCATTTGGAAACAGGAAAGATGATTGCTATTTTCATTTCCTATGTACAATGCCAGGAGGTTCATGCTTGGCTTCCCCTGTATGTGTGTCCGGCAGAGCTCCCCTCCAGCAGGGGCGGGGATGACTATGGTAGCTACTATGGGAGAATGCATTTCCCCAGATTTGCAACTTGCACGCCATTTGTGCCTCAGACATTGCCCTGAGTCCCGTGGTCGTCACAGTACTTGAGAATAGTGGAAAGGTCTGGAGGAGTCCCTAAGCGTGACAGCTGTGATCTCTCCGTGCCTTAGTTAACCCCCATCCTGGGATCTAGTGAGGGGTTTATGCAGCTCCTCTTCAGCCGATGTTCATGTCAGTGGTTAGAGGCTCTCTGGACATTCTCTGAGGTCTCTAAGCAACAGTGAAATGATGATTTGCAGGAACTTGTAGGCACGAGCATATGGAGACCGCTTCAATAACCAGACACAGAACATGTATCATTGTTATTTGTAACAATTTTTCTTCTTTTCTTCACCTTAACAATTTGTATTTGTCCATGTTAAGTGTATAGCCTGGTGTCCTCCACACCAGGTTGGTTTGCAAAGGAAAATAATTTGGATGAAGGTGAGAGGTGGTTTTCCTGAGCAAGTTCGAGTGCTGCTTTCTGGTTGGCAGAAATGCCATCCTGTTATCTGAAACCCTGGGCATAGCTCCAAATACCACTGATGCAGATTTTTTAGAAATTCCGAGGTGGCATTTATTTCAGCCATGAAACGTTTTACCGTAACACATGTTTAAGAGCCTTTGAAATAACAAAGGTAAGCACCTTTGGTGGTGATAGAGATGTAAGCTGTCCATTTGGAACAGATCAGAAATCTAAGGGCACGTGGCTGGGAAGCTGTGTCAGCGATGGCAGAGGAGGAGAATTTTCCTCCCCTGCAGGAGGACCGGACAGTCCCCTGGGCTGAGAGCCCCTTGCACCCCAGTAGAGGCTGCAGATTCGCTGTGCACAGGGTGGGGTCTGCATGGGGATGGGGGCATCTCAGGGGGACTCTGTGTGTTCAGAGGGCAGGAAGCACAGCAGAAGAACAGGGTGGAGACATCTCAGAAGAACAGAACTTGTCATGCTGGGAGGTCCCTGAGGACTTACGTGTCAGTGACTGTAACCTGTGTGGGTGACGAGGACGTGAACATGCCAGTAAAGAGCCCCTGCCTGTCCCTGCCTCACCTCTAGGACATAGGGAGGGGCCCTCCGTGAACGCAGTTTTATTACCAAGCATGATGAGCAACCAAAACTGCTCTCAGAAGAAATGGCTGACGTTCCCGCTTCACCCTCTATGTGCCAATATAACTGTGAGGTGACTTTGCCTGCAGATGTCTCAGGCTATGCAGAAAGCTGTGAATGCACAGACATTAACAGGGCATTTGGAAATCTTCACTATGCAAACCAGTGGTCATGGCATAGAATTCTAGGGAAGCCACAAGTGATTTCATAGGTATAGAAGACAGACCTCCCCTAAGGCCGAGCCTCTCAGTTCTAAAGACTGTGACTTGAGTTTATTTTTTAAATATTATTTTAACGGACAAATGATAAACATTTATGTAGTACAGTGTGATACTTTGATATACGCATACAACGGGGAATGTTTACCAAACTGATTAATATATTTCTCACCTTGCTTACCCCTCATTTTTTATGATGAGATATTTAGAATTTACTCAGTTATTTTGAAAGGTACATTACATTTTTATTGACTATAGTTACCCCACTGTGCTGTAGATCTCAAAACATCTACTTCCAATCTGAGGCTTTGTCTCTTCTGACCAACGTCTCCCCATCTCCTCCCTCCCCGGCCCCTGTGGTCACCTTTCTGTTCGCCACAAATGCCACGTGCAGACGAGGTCTTGCAGCGTTCCTCTCTGTGGCTGGCTTATTTCCCGTAGAGTCATGTGCTCCGGGCCAGCACGTGGCAGGCTTTGCTCCTCACTGAAGGCGGATCGGTCGTTGGACGCTTCAGTTGATTTCTCTCCTTGGCCCTTGTGTGTAACGCTCCAGTGAATGTGGGGATGCAGGTGATCTCCTGAATTCTGGATCGATTTCAGTTCCTTTGGATAAATGCCCAATAGCAAGATTGCTAGATCATATAGTAGTTGTATTTTTAATTTTTTTGTTAGAAGCCTCCATACCATTTTCCATAATGGCCACACTAATTTGCATTCCCATCAACAGCATGCGAGGGTTTTCTTTTCTCTGCATCTTCACCAACATTTTCCTCTTTTTAATAAAAGCCGTTATAGCCAAGGTGAGCAATATAAGGTGATGTCTCCTTGTGATGGTTTTTCGTTTGTTTTTTGTGTTTTTTTGAGAGGGAGTCTCGCTCTGTCACCCAGGTTGGAGTGCAGTGGTGCGATCTCAGCTCACTGCAACCTCTGCCTCCCAGGTTCAAGCATTTCTCCTGCTTCAGCCTCCTGAGTAGCTGGGATTACAGGCACGTGCCATCACACTTGGCTAATTTTTATATTTTTAGTAGAGAGAAATAGAGAGACCAGCGTTTAGTAGAGACCAGTGTTGGCCAAGCTGGTCTTGAACTCCTGACCTCAAGTGATCTGCCTGCCTCAGCCTCCCAAAGTGCTAGGAGGCATGAGCCATCACTCTTGGCTTCCTTGTGGTTTTAATTTGTGTTTCCCTGATGATTAGTGATGTCAAGCAACTTTTCATGGATGTGTTGGTCATTTGTGTGTCATCCTTTGAGAAATGTGCCTTTAGAATAGCAGTTTGTTGGTCTTAGAGAACTTTATTTTTAACTGAAGGAATTCATTGGCTGTGGTGCAATGCAAAATGAGCATATTAGTGTAGTGACAACTACATGATCCCTAATATTTCTTCCATCTGCCAGTCCTACAGCCACTAGAAGAGTCTTAGAATACAGGCGCTGATGAGAATCTAGTTTTCTGAACGGTGCTGGGAGGATTCTTGTTATTCACACTTTCCTGAAGCATGGCACCTGTTTCCCAGAGCTGGCCTCAGATCCAGCCAGACTGAGGCCAGCGCCACCTTTCCAAGGACAGAGGACTAAGGCCTGTGAATCAAGAAAGCCATTGCCATAGTCCAGGTGCAGCTGGTCTGACCTGTCTTTGGGTCACGTGCAGAGGCTGTGAGGCCCACCAATGACCCATAGCCCTTTGCTGCTGGTGCTGTGTGCAGGGACCACCTGCCTGGTCCCTTTCTTTATTGAGTGATTCTGTGTGTGTGTGTGTGTGTGTGTGTGTGTGTGTGTGCATGCATGCGTGTGTGTGCATGGACACGTGTGCACACTTGTGCATGGGCATCTGAATGCACGTGTGTGTGTGCATGAGCATGTGTGTGAATGTGCACACATGTGTGCATGAGTACGTGTGTGTCAATGCATGTATACATGTGTGAGCATGGACGTGTGTGAATGTGCATGCCTGTGTGTTTATGGACATGTGTGTGCACACTTGTGCATGGACATCTGAATGCATGTGTGTGCATTGGCATGTGTGTGAATGTGCACGTGTGTGCGTGAGTACGTGTGTCAATGTGTGTACGCATTTGTGTGCATGGGCCTGTGTGTGCATGGGCACGTGTGTGAATGTGCGCATGTGTGTGCGTGGGCACCTGTGTGTGAATGTGTGCACGTGCATGTATGGGGAGGTGTGAGTTTGTGCATATGAGTCTGCATGGGCACTTCTGTGTGAATGTGTATGCACATGTGTGTGTGCATAGGCGTCTGGGTGAATGTGTGTATGCGTGTGTGTGCATGGGCACCTGTGTGTGAATGTGCACACGCATGTGTATGGGCATGTGTGTTTGTGCGTGCGCATCTACATGGGCACCTGTGTGTGAATGTGTGTGAGCGCGTGTGTGCATGGGCACCTGTGTGTGTGTTGAATGCTTCCCAGGACTGCCTCCCACACGGATGTGTAGGGTGAGGCACAGTAAGTGCTGCTCTGTGCATGCCAGCTAGGCCTGGGCAGAGCTGTGCTGAGGGCTGACGTCTCATGGGGCTGTGGGGGCACTGTCTGTGATGAGGAGGAGGCGGCCCAGCCTTGCATGGCTGAATCACAGCTGCATCCCCCCAGGCCCGCTGCTGCTGTGGTTTTTGGTCTCTTACTTAATTTTTAGGGGTCTTTTTATGCATATGATTTTGTCACTTGAGGGATTAAATCACGGGCAAACACTACATAGGCAGCGTTTAGGGAAAGCTTGGCTCCTGGCCTGAGGTCAGCGTTTCTCCCACAGCCATGAGAGACTGGCTTCAGCCGTTCCTCCGTCTTGTGACCATCACGCATGTGCTCCTGCCTTGGCTGGGCACTCTCTGGCTCAGCGGAGCCGCCTTCCTGCTGTGGAAGCTGATGTCATCCCACCTGTGCTCCTCACCTTTGCAGAGTTGGGGCATTTTCTAATGTGATGCTGAGATTCACGTGAGAGTAACTGATCATGGCTTTACCTGAGCGAGCACTGCCTGCAGGAAAAGCACCACAAGGCGTCACCGAAGTGGGTTCTGTCAGCTGAGCTCCCCGTGGCCAGACCTTGCGGAGTCGCTTTGTGTGTGTGCTGGTTGGCCTGTTTGGTTATGGCTCCTTGAAAATTCCAGAGAGGCATTTTCACTGTAGATTTAAATCTACAATAAGAAAAATACTAACTAAACACTTAAGAGACTACAGCTTTGAAAGTTTAATGCTGCCTAATTTACCCAGGTGAAAACACCAGTCTTTGTCTCTTGTTTTCCATTATCAGGGAGCAGGTGGGAAGATCCACAGCCAGGCCTCTGGTCACCAACAGCAACTGGGCTGTGCAGGCTCCACGCTGGGGTGGTCCACCCTCGGGGTGGTGGGGGGTCCACACAGCCATCTGGGGAGTGAAAAGGGGTGACCTGTGGGTCCGCGCTGGGGGGCCATGCTGGGGGACCACACAGCCATCTGGGGAGTGAAGAGGGGACTTGTGGGTCTATGCTGGGGGGGTGCACACTGGGGGGTCCACACAGAGCCATCTGGGGAGTGAAGAGGGATGACTTGCTTACTGTGTGGCATTTTTAGTTCCTGAAATCCTGGCTGTTTTGGAGCTTTCAGATTATTTTACGAATCAAATAATGGAACCCCTATGCAGCTGGCACAGCTGGTGGGCATAGAGAGAGTGATGTGAGTGCCTTGGCTCTTCTCCCACCTGCCTCAGGCAGCTGGACAGGAGGGAGGACTCGCCTGGGCATGGTGGTTCCCTGGCTGCTGCAGCCAAGGGAGTCCCGTCTGGGCAGGTCTGACCTTCCACAACTGCTGCTGGCAGTCAGGAGCCCCCTGTAGTCGTATCTTCAGTGCGGCTACGCAGCAGTGACCCGTTCGGCAAGCTTGCTTACTTCGCTGAGACCGGGTGTACTCAGGGTGAGGAGGGGGCAGACCGGGCGTGCTCAGGTGAGGAGGGGGCAGACCGGGCGTGCTCAGGGTGAGGAGTGGGCTGACTGGGCATGCTCGGGTGAGGAGGGTGGTGACCCAGGTCTTCCTTCCCTGGCCCAGGTGTACTCCCTGCCTGGCACCCACACCAGGTGTACCCTCCATGCCTTTGGTCTTTGAGTATTTTAAAAATCTGGTGCTTTGGTGTTGATGTATTAGGTAGAAGTGTTATCTCAGACCTTGTCTGTCGTCCATGGTAATTATGTCGTATAATCATAGTCTTACAGAATCAGAGGGAACTACAGTAGCAGCCTCTTAACGCAACCCAAGGAGCACCAGCCCTGCGCTGAGCCCTTCTATACACTTCTAATTTGTCCCTCAGCAAATTGGGCGAGGGCTGTTTTTTCTACCCCCGTTTTGCACATGAGGACACGGAGGCCACACAAGCTAATCTCTTCAGGATCCCACAGACACCAAGCAGCAGGGCTGGGGTTGCTTCCTGGTTCTGCAGACTCCAGATTCCTTGTGAACTCTGGAGGGAGGGCTTGGGAGGTTAGCTCACTGCCCAGTACCAAAGGCTGGCAGTACTTCTGCTGGAGCGGGGCAGGCCATGGATTCTCACCTCCTCTCTTTCTTGCCCTCTCAGGATGCAGGGAGCCAGCAGATAGGTTTCTTGCTTGGAAGCTGCGGAGTTACTGTAGCCTTGACTAGTGATGCTTGCCATAAAGGACTTCCAAAAAGCCCAACAGGAGAGATCCCACAGTTTAAAGGTAGGCCACCAAGCCTCTGAGAGCTCGCATGCCCAAGTCCTTTGTCAGAAGACGGCTGCGGGAATGCATCATCCCGCCCGACTTTTCACACATCCACATCTCTGATGACACATCTGGGTGGCCAGCCCGTGGGGTGACGTGATGTAGCACGTGGTGGTGGATTGGGTGCTGGTCTTTGATGTCTTAGATCCCATGAAATACGGAAACACCAGAGATTTCCATCTAGTTGAAGCGGTTGAAAGTATACCTCAAGAATGGAGAGAAATTCTACAGACATACTTTCTGGGCAGCACTGAAAAGGAACTTGTTGTTTATCTCCAAGGTTGGCCAAAGCTGCTGTGGTTTGTCACAGAGTCGAAGCATCTCTCCAAGCCACCCCGAGACTGGTTCCCTCACATTAAAGATGCTAATAACGACACTGCATATATTGAGGTGAGTCAGTCTCAGCCTCCACTGGCCCTGGTGTGACCTCAGGAACTAATATGCATTTCCAATGGTTGCCCAGCACCAGAATTAAGGGGCTCGGAGCACCTCAAATAACCGGGAAAGCTGCCTTGACCGCTCAGCCCCTCTCCTCATGCTTTCTGTCTTGTTTCAGTACAAGACATGTAAGGACGGCAGCGTTCTGGGCGTGACGGTGACGAGGACTGCACTGCTGACCCACTGCCAGGCCCTGACGCAGGCGTGTGGCTACACGGAAGGTGGGCCTGCCAGACCCCGGCTCCCTGGGACCCTGGTTCTCACCGGGACACCTGACACAGAGGCCACATCACTCCCATGAGGAGCTGTAGAAATAGCGTGAAGTTTGTGCCCAGTTCCACTGATGTTAACTTATTGTTGAGTTAGGGTATCAGCTCAGCCTGCCGTAGCAGAATACCACAGACCGGGCAGCTTCAACAGCAGACGTTTATGTTTTCATGGTGCTGGAGGTCAGAGGTCAGCGTGCTCGTGGGCAGTTCCCAGTGAGGGCCTCTTGCTGGCTTCTCATAGGAGGTGTAAGAAGCTGTGTAGTTAGGAGCCCATCCTTATGACCCCATTGAACGTGAATGACTTCCTAAAAGGCACTGTCTCCACACACAGCTGTTCTGGGGCCTGGGGCTTCAGCATGTGGATTTGGGGAGACGCTGGGAACCCCATGAAGGTTCATCCCTAGGTGCACATTGGTGTATCGTCAGGAATTGTAAAGAAAGCGCCCGTGTGTCTGCCCACCCCTACCCATTGCATCAGACTCTGGGCTTCCATGCTGAGAAGAATTGGTGCCCATTCTGTGTTTTCTTTCCCCTAGGTGGGTTAGTATGGGAGGCAGAGAGGGGAAGTGAATGGAGGGAACCGTGGCAACCATTGCCGAAATGGCACAGAGAGTGAAGGGTGCGGGCAGACCCCAGGATCCCCAGAGACTCATTGGTGCCCTGAGTCCTGCTGAGACCTGAAACCTGAGATGCTCTGAGACCCCGTGATGTGCCCTGAGGCCCTTTGAGACCCCCCCAGAGAACCCCTGTAGCCCTGAGATCCCTTGGGATGCCCTGAGGCCCCTTGAAACCCACTCCAGAGACCCCCTGAAGCCCTCTAGTGACCCCCTTGACCAGAGCCCTGACAGGGCACAGTTACATGTGCAGCCCTGCCTGGCATCCCTTTGGACTTGACAAAGCCATGGTGGCATCTGCTGCTCCGCTGCGGAATGAAAGGCTTTTCTTTTTCTACAGTTTTTATTCTCCCTATCCTGATTATCTCCCTTTTAAAAACAGCGCATGTGTCTCGTGGGTATTCAGATGTTTGGCTGTGGACTTTTCACTTGTGGGGGTGCATTGCCGTGGTGGCTTCACCGCCCTGTTGTCTAACCTTAGGACCCCTGCTCCCGGCCCTGATGATGCCTCTAGAGTCCAGGGAAGTCACCCTTGCAGAGGTTGGGTGGCAATAGAGCCATTCGCTCCTGACTTCACTGCTTTAAAAAGGAACTTGGGTTGTGTCCTTTTGGCTGTTTGTTGTGAAAGCCGCTCAGTCTGTTCCCGCCACATTTTAGCCTGTGGAAGGGGAGGTGAGACTGAGTCACGTGCTGGCAGCTGCTGGCCTTGGCTGGCCGGGTGACTTCAGGAGAAAGCTGGGCCTGTTCCTGGCCAGCTCCGGGGCTTCACTTCCGTGCTGGGTGACAGAGATCCTCGTTAAGCAAAGCCCTCCCCGATAGTCATTGAATAGACTTCCCTCCCTGTCTTCCAAATTCCGCTGCCTCCTTTTTCATCGCAACCCCAGACTTCGAGAGTTCCAGGAGAGCTGCGTAGGCTCCTGCGTTGCCAAAAATCCACCTCCGCCTCTATGCATACAGGGTATGCCGGCTGCAAAGCTTCCTCTCCTGGGAGACTCACGAGGAAGCAAAAAGAAATCTTTTAAAGGAAAAGGCAGGGAGGGGAAATACATAAGAAGAGAAGGAGCACGGTGGTGTGTTAGTTTGTTTTTTGTTTTTTTTGAGATGGAGTTTTGCTCTGTCACTCAGGCAGGAGGGCAGTATCATGATCTCAGATCACTGCAACCTCTGCCTCCCAAGTTCAAGAGATTCTCCTGCCTCAGCCTCCTGGGTAGCTGGGATTACAGGTGCCTGCCACCATGCCAGCTAATTTTTATATTTTTGGTATAGACGGTTTTGCCACGTGGCCCAGGCTGGTCTCGAACTCTTGATCTCAGGTGATCCACCCACCTCAGCCTCTCACAGTGCTGGGATTACCGATGTGAACCACCCTCTCCAGCCAGGAACGCTGTGTTTTAAGGTGCAGCATGGAGAGCTAATGCTGCTCACTTATGTGTCAGGATATCCTATCTGTCTAGAAACTCCAGGTCCACTTGGAGGCTGCAGAATTTCCACCAAGATACGGCAAAATGATATTTTTCCAAGCTCTATATCTACCCCCAATGCAATGTTGGATTTTCTTTGCCTTTTGATCTGTGTTGCCCTGTCCTAAGTAAAAATCTCCTGACTCCCTCTGCTGTGCAGCTGAAACCATTGTGAATGTGCTGGACTTCAAGAAGGACGTCGGGCTCTGGCATGGCATCCTAACAGTAAGTGAGGTTCCCGCCCCCAACTGCATCTGTCCACACAGGAGTCCCCTGCCCGCGCTGCCTGTACCCTGCCTGTCCACACAGGAGTCCCCTGTCCCCCCAGCCTCTGTCCACGCAGGAGTCCCCTGTCCCTCCAGCCTCTGTCAACGCAGGAGTCCCCTGTCCCCCCAGCCTCTGTCCGCGCAGGAGTCCCCTGTCCCCCCCAGCCTCTGTCCACGCAGGAGTCCCCTGTCCCTCCAGCCTCTGTCAACGCAGGAGTCCCCTGTCCCTCCAGCCTCTGTCCGCGCAGGAGTCCCCTGTCCCTCCAGCCTCTGTCCGCGCAGGAGTCCCCTGTCCCTCCAGCCTCTGTCCGCGCAGGAGTCCCCTGTCCCCCCAGCCTCTGTCCGCGCAGGAGTCCCCTGTCCCCCCAGCCTCTGTCCGCGCAGGAGTCCCCTGTCCCCCCAGCCTCTGTCCGCGCAGGAGTCCCCTGTCCCCCCAGCCTCTGTCCGCGCAGGAGTCCCCTGTCCCCCCAGCCTCTGTCCGCGCAGGAGTCCCCTGTCCCCCCAGCCTCTGTCCGCGCAGGAGTCCCCTGTCCCCCCAGCCTCTGTCCGCGCAGGAGTCCCCTGTCCCCCCAGCCTCTGTCCGCGCAGGAGTCCCCTGTCCCCCCAGCCTCTGTCCGCGCAGGAGTCCCCTGTCCCCCCAGCCTCTGTCCGCGCAGGAGTCCCCTGTCCCCCCAGCCTCTGTCCGCGCAGGAGTCCCCTGTCCCCCCAGCCTCTGTCCGCGCAGGAGTCCCCTGTCCCCCCAGCCTCTGTCCGCGCAGGAGTCCCCTGTCCCCCCAGCCTCTGTCCGCTCAGGAGTCCCCTGTCCCCCCAGCCTCTGTCCGCGCAGGAGTCCCCTGTCCCCCCAGCCTCTGTCTGCGCAGGAGTCCCCTGTCCCCCCAGCCTCTGTCCGCTCAGGAGTCCCCTGTCCCTCCAGCCTCTGTCCGCGCAGGAGTCCCCTGTCCCCCCAGCCTCTGTCCGCGCAGGAGTCCCCTGTCCCTCCAGCCTCTGTCCACGCAGGAGTCCCCTGCCCGCCCTGCCTGTCCACACAGGAGTGTGCTTGCTGTCGAAATACAAGTGACTAGATGTGCATACATGTCCACCTGGGCAAGTCGCTTCTCCCCACACTGTGAGTGGAAGACCGTCACTGTTAGGAGGCTGATGCTGTCACTAACGTCGTTCACAGCTACACCACAACGCCAGGTGTTTCAGCAGCCACTGGTGTGAGGGTATTGGATGCGTGGATTGAGGTTATAGCTGCCAAGGAACAGCCTCCAGGGCTGACGTGGAGATCATTATCTTTCTTCCCACACTTTTGGCATTCAGTATCTTACAGTAACATCAAAGGTTGGTTTGTGTGTGGATCGCTGTCCTATGCATCTGGTTAGCTGGATGTTCCTGTGTTACAGGCGTTCATGGGGCCTGCTGTTGTGTTACCTGCAGGGAAAAGTAGTTTATGGATTTGCCCTCGAAGGTGGAAATCAGTGTGTGTTACAGAGAAACGACTGTCTCACAATCGTGAATGCCCCAGATGACAGCGCCGGGCTGTGGGTGCTTCTCATGGGGAAGTAACCTTGTTTTTTAAGGCAGGCTTGGCACGTGAAAGCGACGCGGAGCGTAACTGCTTAGATGCTCCCCCAGTCTGTTTCAGATGCGGTAATTTCCGCTCATTTTTCTTTTGAATAATTTCTCATGCTAAAACGTCTTACCTTTTGGAGGTAGAAAATTCTAGTAGTTGTCGCATGAGTGATGGACATATGTGCTGTTTCTCGGTCAACCAGAACTCATGTGAGGAGGAGCCAGCAAGCATCTCCTAGACCAAATATCTGAGGCTCCAGAGAAGCCCATCTGGCTTCTTTCTGTGACACGTGTGGGTCGTCTCTCAAGCCTGGATGCTGTTACGGGAAGGGATGAGCAGCGTGGTACTGACACCATCCTGTGCTGGTGCGGGGGATGGGGGGAGCCCCAGCTTTGGGATTGGAGGACCCGGGCTTGTGTCTCAGCCTTTGCTTTGTGACTCGGACATGTCACCTATGCATCTAAGGCCCTTCTCAAATCTGAACCTCAATTTTCCTGTCTGTGAATGGGAACGACAATCCTATTTGATGTGGCTGGCGTGAGAATTATGTGGCCAAAAGCTTAAGCACCCACTGCACCTATACGTTCGATGCATGTGATTCATTTATCAGGTCCTGAAGAACAGCCAGCTACGTTACTGTTGCTGTCACTTGCTCTCATTATTAGGACGCCCGAGTTCCTGGCTGCGATGTTGTCCATACAGCCCTGCTTCAAGGCCTCATCCTGGGGCCACCTCTCCTTGAGTATCTCTTATGGGTGGTGCCAGCTCTGTTCTTGGGGTACAGCCGGCAGCCCTGGCAGGTGTGAGTCCCTGCACTGTCGCATCTAAAGCGAGGTCTCTGAGCAGACTGCAGCAACCAGAAAGATGCCCTCACCTCTGCTGGCACAGAGTGGGGAGGGAGCCGGCAGAGCTCTGGAGAGGGAAGAGGCATGTTGTCTTTCCTCTTTCATCTGGAGCTTCCCCAGTCAAGCCAGTGGCTCTGCAGAGGGGTCTGTGCCCTCTTGTCTGCCTCCGTAGCCTACAAGACTTCAAGAATCGCAGCCTACTGCACAGCCCCCAGGTGGTGCCTGGTCTGTGGCCGATGTGCGCATGCTGCCCATGTAGGTGTGAGTCCCAGCCTCAGCGTGGTGCCCATGCAGGTGTGAGTCCCAGTGTGCAGGTAGTAGCCAGTGTTTCCTAGTTTATTTTTGTCGGGAATCCCGATCTGCTGCAGCAAGGTCTGGCAGGAGCCAGAGTGTGAGCTTCTCCCAGCTCCATGTTTCAGGGCAGCATGTGATTCTGAAGATGGGTTCTGTGAAATGAAAGTTAGCATATCACACTAGGAAGAATTAGGCTTTGAGGATACGAAAGGCCGTTGAAAATGACAATCCTGCACCAAAGGTTTCATCTTCAAAAGGATTTGGACTTAAATTATGTAATTATCTCAGCGTAGTTTAGGGAAAGCAGTGGTGTGCAAGGGAGACCTTGAGAAGTCGCTTTTCTGTAGACATGCCTTTGCAGGATCACAGCAAGACTTAGCCATGTCACACTGATGGAGACCAGCCATCCCTGCCCCTCCCCACCCTCCCACCCTGACGAGCCTCCAGGGCCCTATGTGGCCTGTTGTCCGTGGTGTTCCTTGAGAGCTACTCCTCCTCCTTTCCAGGGCCCCATGTGGCCTGGTGTCCACGGACCTCTCTGAGAGCTGCTGCTCTGCCATGCCCTTCGTACTTGCCGTCCCTGCTGTCCCCACCTTAAGGAGCCTCCAGGGCCCGTGCGGCCTGGTGTCCGCAATGCTGGCTGAGAGCTGCTGCTCTGCGTGCCTCTCTACTGGCTGCCCCTTCCATCCCCTCCCTAAAGAGCCTCCAGGGGCCTGCACGCCCTGGTGTTTATGGCATTCGCTGAGAACCACCTCCTCTGGGGGCTCATGCGGCCTGGTGTCTGCACCGCTGGCTGAGAACTGCTCCTCTGCATACCCCTCCATGCTCACCCTGTGTGTTCCTTCATTGATTGCAGAGTGTCATGAACATGATGCATGTGATCAGCATCCCATACTCACTGATGAAGGTGAATCCTCTCTCCTGGATCCAGAAGGTCTGCCAGTACAAAGGTGGGTCTCAGTGGGCAGGGTGGCTCATGCCTATAATCCCAGCACTTTGGGAGGGCAAGGTGGGTGGGTCACCTGAGGTCAGGAGTTCAAAACCAGTCTGGTCACCATGGTGAAACCCTGTCTCTACTAAAAATATAAAAATCAGCTGGGCATGGTGGCGGGCACCTGTAATCCCAACTACCCTGGAGGTTGAGGCAGGAGAATTGCTTGAACCCAGGAGAAGGAGGTAACAGTGAGCCAAGATTGTGCCACTGCACTCTAGCCTGGGCGATGAGCAGAACTCCATGTCAAAAATAACAAAAAAATGTGCGTCCTGTGTGGCTCGTAGGGGCTGGGTGACAATGATTCTTCAGCCCTCCCCACTACTCATCATGACCTCTTTTTCAATAGGGGATGGTCTGACAGTGGCACAGACTAACCTATCTCTATTTTTCTATTTAGCCAAAGTGGCGTGTGTGAAATCGAGGGATATGCATTGGGCATTAGTAGCACACAGAGATCAGAGAGACATCAACCTCTCCTCTCTGCGAATGCTGATTGTAGCGGACGGAGCGAACCCCTGTAAGTGAAGAACCTGTGTGAACTCTCGAGGCAGGCTATCTGTGGAGTCTTTTTTTTCCAGGTTTCATTCTTTGCACTTTGATTTTTATTTTTCTAATCTTTTTCTTAGTAAAGAAGTGGTCTTAAAATAACCAACCAGTGTCACTCACTCTGGCCGAGAGCTATGATGGCATAAGAATAAGGACAGGCATTTGCAGACACCACAGCCGTGGGATTCAGAGGATGTCTTGGTTCTGTAGAGAAAGTTCCTTTGCTGACCCTGTTTCCCCTGGCTGTAAAACGGTGCTTAAGTCATAAACTTTCATGAGGATTAAATGAAATAAGCCCTAAGCAGGTGATAAGTACTTCAAGAACTATTTGGCTGCTATTACTTTATGGTCTATAGTAGTTTCCTTGATCAGTAAATTAATTTGTCATTTTAATGTAATTTCATTACTACATCCTCTAACAAAAATACCCAGATAAAGTAAACTAGCAGTTCTACAGAATGCTATTAATATACCTTGAGAAATACTTCAGTCAACTGAAATAAGAACCTAGCTGGCATGCTTTTGTGAGAAAAGATCTAAAGCTTGGAAATTGATGCAAGGAGGTTTCTGACCACATTTATGAAACATGCAGCATTTAAATTTGTAAACTAAAGCAGCATAAACTCCTTCAATGCCAGATATACAAAATTAGACTCATAAACATGTTTTATAAACAATTTTCACTTAAATTTCATAAATCCTGAGCAAATTTAATAAACAATTGTTTTTAACCCATAACTCCACAGAACAATACATCTTACATAAAGGAAAGTATATCTGTATTTGGAAATAGTTTAGCTGATATGTTCTTCATAATTATGCCTCACCCTCATCATTTAAATTAATAGAGGAAAGTTTTCAGCATTTGGTTTAGATTTTTCCCCTCTTGGACTTTGCCTACTGAAAATGGTGGAACAAGTTTCAGAAAAGTGACTAAAGCCAGTTCATCTGTCAGAAAAGGCATCATAAATGTGAAGATTGCATTCTTAAATTCTTGAGTTCTGTTATTTTGAGAATAACAACTTTCAGTGTAACATAATTGTATTAAATGCAGTGTTTTTCCATGCTGCCTAGATCCACTTGTGCCTGAAGCCTACCTTCAGAACTGTTTTGGGATTTTGTCATCGGTCACAGTGCTTCAGCTGTCTGATCATTGTCCCTCTTTCACTCTAGGGTCTATTTCTTCTTGCGATGCATTTCTCAATGTCTTCCAAAGTAAAGGCCTTCGACAGGAGGTCATCTGTCCCTGTGCCAGCTCGCCAGAGGCCCTCACTGTGGCCATCCGGAGGTACTGGGTCGTGCTGATTTACGTAGATAACCTAGAGACAGTCCTAATTCAGCAGCAGAGGGAGATCAGGAAATCCTGACAGTCAGTGCTGAGGGCGAGGGTGAAAATGGGACCCAGCCTTTCAGGATGAGTTTATTTCTCTTTTATGTCCTGCAACAGATTCTTTCAAACAGCCTAGATTCATTCATTAAAAAACATTGATCACTCCCTGAAGTTTCACTGTAATTCCTTAGTAAGTGGAACTTTCTGGAGACTCATGGGGCCATAATGTCCAGTCCTTGCCGTTTACTCCAGTTTCCACTTGTTCATATCAGTGTCTGGTTTGATTTGGGATGGGACAGAGTAGGTGCTAGAAGAAGTGAGATCCTCACAGCCAAGCACGCGCTCTGCGGCATGCCGTCTCTGCCCTTCGCTGTCTTCACTTTCTGCCCTTCGGAATGCTGACCTTTAAAGGGCGCGGCTTTGCTAAGCATTGGAGCGCTTACTGCCACATCCAACAACTCGAAGGTCCGTGGTAACCAGATGTTTCATGGGTTGCTTTCCTTGAGGCCGCCGTCATCCAGAGGGCCCTGGGTCAGGTCACTGTGACCCAGGTCACTGCAGCCTGCTGTATGACAGGTGGGAAGGAAGTGGTAATGGGGGTGTAAAATCTGTGCTGCCAGGATGGAAAGTGTTCAACACCATCAGTCTCAAGCGCTGGTGCAAGGAAGGCCTGTTTGAGCAGCCTCTCCACCATCAGCACTCATGTCAGAAAGTGTGTGACTCATCTAGACCTTTGAAACTTGTGACACGACTTATTTTTTAATATCTTTGGGTTCCATCCCTAATTAGGTTTTCTCTCACATAGCACAGATGTAGTGTAAATGACACAGGAAGGTCAGTGTACAAAGTACGTGAGTTCTGCTCTGCATTATGAAAACATTGGGCTTTCCAAAATACAGTACTGAAATTATTTCCTTAAGTGAAGAGGCCTTCTGAAGCTTTTAGGTGTTCGTGTAATATTAACTAGATGAGCTGACTAGCAGGCTGAGAAACTGGAAACATTTGAAACATCAGAAGCCACTTTTCATTTTGATTAAACCAGAAGTTAAAAGTCTTACATAATTTAAATAGATAAAAGAGGGTAACACTAACCAGAATCTGATCTTCACTTTTTTTTTAATGGTACTTTGGACTCTGGGGTACATGTGCACATCCTGCATCCTGCAGGATTGTTGCATAAGTACATACGTGCCACATTCCCCCCCAACCCCATCACCTACATCAGGCATTTCTCCCGCTGTTATCCCTCCACATCTGCCCTGCCCCCTGCTGTCCCTCCCCTCCCCTTCCCTCCCCACTTCCACTCCACCTCTCCACCTAGCCCTGTGAGTGTTGTTCCCTTCCCTGTGCCCAAGTGTTCTCATTGTTCATCACCCACCTGTGAGTGAAAACATGCAGTGTTTGGTTTTCTGTTCTTGTGTCAGTTTGCTGAGAATGATGTTTTCTAGATTCATCCATGTCTCTACAAAGGACACTAACTTGTCATTTTTTATTACTGCATAGTATTCCATGGTGTATATGTGCCAGTCTATCCTTGATGGGCCTTTGGGTTGATTCCAGGTCTTTGCTATCATAAACAGCGCTAGAGTGAACATACGTGTGTATGTGTCTTTATAATAGAATGATTTATAATCCTTAGGGTATATACCCACTAATGGGATTGCTGGGTCAAATTTGAGGAATCACCACACCGTCTTCCGTAATGGTTGAACTAATTGACACTCCCACCAACAGTGTAAAAGTGTTCCTATTTCTCCACATCCTCTCCAGCATCCGTTGTCTCCAGATTTTTTAATGATCGCCATTCTAACTGGCGTAAGATGATATCTCAATGTGGTTTTGATTTGCATTTCTCTAATAATCAGTGACAATGAGCATTTTTCATATGTTCGTTAGCCGCATAAATGTTTTCTTTTGTAAAGCGTCTGTTCATTTCCTTCACCCACTTTTGAATGAGTTTGTTTTTTTTCTTGTAAATCTGCTTTAGTTCTTTGTAGATTCTGGATATCAGCCCCTTGTGAGATGGGTAGACTGCAAAAAATTTTTCCTATTCCGTTGCTTGCTAGCGTTTCTTTTGCTGTGCAGAAGCTCTGGACTTTAATTAGATCCAATTTGTCTATTTTGGCTTTTGTTGCCATCGCTTTTGGTGTTTTAGTCATGAAGTCCTTGCCTAAGGACTTTCTTCTAGGGTTTTTATGGTGTTAGTTCTTCTAGGGTTTTTATGGCGTTAGTTCTTATGTCAGTTTTTAAAAGGATATAGTTACCCTAACGGCAGGTGCTCCCTGAATAATCTTCTGGCATTCCTGTTAGACCTCGGAGAAAAAATACATACGAGGTTGTAGTAGCAGATTTATCATCACAATCATGTTCTTCAAAGATCAGCCCTAAAATGCGTGTCTGTTTGAGGACCCAGGAGTAGATGCCAAGGCAGGGCTTCAGGCAGCAAGCACGGTGGGGCCTTGGGTCTAGAGCCAGTTCAGAGCCTGGCTGGGTGGCTGCAGGATCCTGGCCACTGCCCTTTGCCCCAGGCCTCATTGTCTTCCCCGGAAAATGAGGGGTTGGGTTCAGTAATCTGTCAATTTCATTCCACCTGTCAATGTTTAAGACCCCACAGCTCTGTCAAGTTACAGCTTTGCCACAGACAATTCAGAAAATGAGCCATTCACAAGCAGGAAGCCCAGAGTGATGATGGGGAGGGCGATGGTTCACCCGTGCTTCTCCACACCCAGAGTTAGGGTAGGATGCTTCTCCCATGCGCCTCTCCTGAGAGCACGCTCTGTGAAGGCCCGCGGCACTGAGCCCCAGCATCGATTGGCAAAAGGAAGACAGGATGAGCAAAGGATGTTTAATCCTTTCTTGTAAAATCTTTTAAAATGCTCTCAAATAGTTTTTTTGAGAGGATTAAAAGGTCAGGGTCCGTTACAGGCAAATGAAGCAGCAGCTGTTTACTGAGTGTGTCTCGGTGTGGCCCGAGAGACGTTTCTCTCATGGTTCCTGGGGCTCAGGCATTAAACCCACCAACCAGCAGATGTGCCCAGCATCACGAGAACCTGCCGGATACACAGGGGATCATGAGTTTGAGTCCGTGAGATCGTAAACGGGCGGGAATGGTAGTTTGCAGTTTTGTCAAAGGTGTAACTCTCCTTTGGAAAAAAAAGCAGTGGGGATTGAGCAGCTTCCAGACTCTGTTTGTGACTGGCTGAAACAGAGTCTGAACCCACCTCCACCCCAGGCTGGTGAATCTGTGTATTCGATGTACCAGAGACTAGCAGCTGATCCGACCAAGAAGGCTGGGGCAGCCAGCCTGGTCCCCGGAGGCATGGCTCCTGTCTGCCGGCCCCAGCTTGCCCCTGCCCGTCCTCTGGCCTCCCCACTCCGGATGATAACCTGCAGCCATCGTCAGTCTTTAGAGCCATAGTCACTTGTTTCCAGATAATCAGTGAAAACACCGGCATCGCAGCAGGTGGGTCTCCTGGAGCTGTTCCACCCTGGAGGGAGGGCGGCTGCCTCGCCTGCTGTTCTTCCGGATCCTGCAACCCCCTCCAGAGACAGGGCCACCTGGGTCCCGGAGCCCTTCCCCAGAGCCCATGTGCCCCGGAGGTCTAGGGAGCCTGTGCTCTGTTTCCCACAGCCAGCCACAAAACTGGGAAGTGGGAGGGCAGGGTTCGTGGCGGGGGTCCTGTTTGCAAGAGCACTTGGTTAGAAAACCCTTGGCCAGGCCTGGCCTGGAGCTGTGAGCACTAAGGGCCTTGTCCCCTGGCCCCAGCGCCTCCTGGACACTGCCCGTATCACATTCCCCTCCCAGCCAGCTGTTTGCCCTTCTCCTTCACCTGGGTCTGCGGGGAGAGGCCGCCCTCTGCTGCGGTCCCCTCACTGTTCAACCTGTGAGCACTCTTATTGTTCTGTTTTCCCTCTGTCCTCTGCTTTCCAGCCTGTCTCTGGCTCCATGTTAGCGTCTCATCCACTCAGCAGATGTTTTTAGAACACCTGTTGTTTGGCAGAAGTGGTTCTTGTGCTGTGGACGCAGCAAAAAGAAACGCCAGAAAGGGGCATGGTGAGGGAGGACGTCCACAGCCTGTCAGGTGAAGGACGAGGTCATTGCAGGTAGCTGTGGAGCTTGCCCTGTGGTTTCACCAGGTGAACAAGCAGAATGTGTCCTTGCGTCAGAGGTGGATGGACCCCACTCCGTCCCTTTCTGTGTGTGAAAAAGCAGAATGTGTCCTTGCGTCATGGGTGGACGACCCCCACCCCCACCCCTTTCTCTGTGTGAAAAAGCAGAATGTGTCCTTGAGTCATGGGTGGATGGACCCCACCCCCACCCCTTTCTCTGTGTGAAAAAGCAGAATGTGTCCTTGCGTTATGGGTGGATGAACCCCCCTGCCCCTTTCTCTGTGTGAAAAAGCAGAATGCGTCTTGCGTCACAGGTGGATGGACCCCACTCCGCCCCTTTCTGTGTGTGAAAAAGCAGAATGTGTCCTTGCATTACGGGTGGATGAACCCCCCTGCCCCTTTCTGTGAGTGACATCTCCTTGGGGCTCAGCCATGCCCGCTTGTTACCAATTACCCATAGCAGCTGAGAGGAGCAGTGTGGCCTCGAATGTTTACTTTCTGGCCCTTTCCTGAGAAAGCGTGTGACTCCTGCCATACGCAGCAAGTGACCATCTTAACTTCAACTCCCCTGCTGTGCGCAGCCCTGGGCTTGGGCTCTGAAGAGGCTGGGAAGGTTCACTTCTTCCCCTCCTTGAGTACCCCTGAGTGACAGGCAGAATGACCTCATGGTAGGCAGCTCCTGTGAAAAGGCAAACTACACCATCAAAAGGTGTGTCACGTGGGGGCAGGGGCAGTGGCTCACACCTGTAATCCCAGCACTTTGGGAGGCCAAGGCAGGTGGATCGCCTGAGGTCAGCAGTTCAAGACCAGCCTGGCCAACATGGAGAATACCTGTCTCTAGAAAAAAA